TTCTAAAAAATGACGAACCACCTAGGGAGACTGGAGGGGAGCTTCGTCCATTGAGGTGATAGATAGTTTATTAGATGCCTCCACTGGCATGGATTTTGTGGCATGCACGTCAATCACACAAGATAAAAGGTAAAATACATGACAACCGGTAAACGACCTTGAGCACACCATTGTAAACATGCATAAAAGGAGATAAAAACAAAATGCTATAACACTAAAAACACAAATAAAAGTATATACACTACACAACACACGACCATAAATCACCTATTGTTCCATGTGGAAATCGCGCGATACGTAAAGCTGCGCCGCGCAAACTCGGTCCTCACTCTCGGTAGCTGTAGCAGGCCGTTGGCCACCGCTCGAGTTTGGCGGCCCGAGACATCGCTTCGGTGGATCAGCTGCCCAGTCAGTGCCTCAGCCCCACATGCAGGGTTAAGAAGGCGACATATGGCAGCGATGTCCCGCTCATGCACCATCTCATCGACTGTGGGCCATCCCAGCTCTCTAAGCGCCGGTGTCACGTGGTCTCGCCGTGACAGTCCCGAAACGATGCGAACGCCAAAATTGATAGATAGTGATGTGGAGATCTGTTTCCACAGGTGGACGTGGATGCACTGGTGTGAGAAAGGGATATTTCTTTTGATCAGATGAAATCTTATTTCAGAGCGTTGCCGGTGTTGTGCGCATTTCTATAGGCTCGTGATTGGCAAAAATGCGGGATATATGATAAATGTTTTTCTCCACTATGCGTGATAGTAGAATTCGCTCTTGACAATAACTGGGAACGACTGTGTATTTCAGCGGTTACGACTTCGGCTACCTTCTGAAGATACTGACCAACCAGAACCTGCCCAAAGAAGAGTCGGAATTCTTTGAGCTGCTCCGGATGTACTTTCCCACAATGTATGACGTCAAGTATCTGATGAAGTCGTGCAAAAACCTCAAAGGCGGTCTACAGGAGGTGGGTTACTTCTCCGTCAGTAAATGCTATATGATGGACTGTGACCTATAGGCCTCTTGGTGAGTGTTGAAACTATGAGCTGGCTCGGCACGGCTGTGTGGACGTAATGAACATTCTTAACCCTCGCATGTGTAGGGGGGTCGGATGGACCCCCCCCCCCATGGTTTTTCGCGTAAACTCGTGTAAAAAGCGGCCGATCGCGACGAAACTTTCAATACCCTCGCATTGATCAATTTGACACCTACCCTGAAAATTTCATGACCCTGACCCAAATGACCTTTGACCTGTGACCTCTTTTCCGAGACCATGTTTGGCCGGAATCGCGATTCGGCGTACGTCGGCTCGCATTAGCCGCGCGTTTGCAAGCTTTTCGTGGTTTCAAACGTTCAAACATGTGATTTGATGTTGCTCCCATGCATTAGGGTGGGTGTCAAGGTCACCTGAAGGTCAGGTCAGGTCATTGACCTTTGGTGACCTCGGGTGACCTCGGTTCACTTTTTCGTGTTTTACATGTTTCCAGGCTAGTTTTTGGAGCTGAATTCGAATTTAGCAACCATTTGAACACTTACGAAGTAGTTTTGGTGCCTTCGTAACATGTTACGAAGCTGTCAGAGGCGGTTGACACGTACTACGAATACCCGTCACGACGCCTACTGATTGACCTGACCTGACCTGACCCGACCTGGTCTAAATGCTTTAAGACATCATCTGTGATCAAAACTAACACGATATTCGTGATCAGCACCCCGAAAAACCCCTTAGCAGCCACACTTTACGACTTTCTAATAGGTCCCGATTTTCCCGACTTTGGGTCATTGACCTGACCTGGAAGGTCAACCAATGACCTAGGACCTTAAAATTGGGTATCATCGGCTTCCTCTCGTCACGGGCAACACGCTCGTTTTTTCCGCGAAGCTCTAGCTCGATCAGGGGCCAAACGGCAAGGGGGGGGTCCAACCGACCCCCCCCCCCTACACATTAGAAGCTGGAAAACGCCGCACACATGCGAGGGTTAAGATTTCCTTCTCGCTAGTCGCCGGACGTGTACGTAGTGCACTGAGTGTACGTACAGTGCTGTGTGGGACTGTGGCGGCGGTATGGGCGACACCCAGCCTGTCGTGTGTATATACGCGGCACACCGACTGTGTAGGAGCATGACAGCGACCCCTCTCGCCCCTGCTTTGTGAGTCTGACAGCGTTTTTCCTGCCGCAGCTGGCGGAGCAGTTGGAGCTGGAGCGGGTCGGCCCTCAGCACCAGGCCGGCAGTGACAGCCTGCTCACCGGCGCCGCCTTCTTCAAAATGAGGGAGGTCAGTCGCACACACTACTAGTTTGGAACGGGACATAGCTTATCCTTTGCCGCCTAGTATATGTGTTACATAGGTAACTCAATAAGTCAGTTTATGTTTTCCAGCTACATTTCGCTCCCAGCGCGCCTCGCTCTCGTTCAATCGCCACTACAGAGCGCTGACTGTCCTCTCCCTCCCTCCGTGCGCCGTCAGATGTTCTTTGAGGACAACATTGACGACGCCAAGTACGGCGGCCACCTGTACGGCCTGGGTACGCCGTACCAGGTGAACGGCGGCGGTCAGCAGGAGCCGGCCGGCGAGCCCGCCACCAGCAGCTCCAGCTAGGCGGGAGGTGAGCAGATACTGCCGTCAGCGGCGGGCGGACGGGGGCAACCGTAATAGTGGGGACGGGTGAGCAGGTAGTACCCGTAGCGTTGGTAGGTCATGGGACGGATGAGAAGATTGCAACCGTGACTGGATGATGCGCGAACAGCTATTAGCTCTTGTAGCGGCGTGGGGGATGGGGGCATGGGTAACCCACACTGGTGGAGAGAGAAATGAACGGGCTAATCAAAGGAAAATGAAGGGTGGAGAATACGTACATTGGCGTGATAGCCTGTTTGTTGCCTGGGTTATGGTATTTGGCTCATAGCCCGTTCCAAAAATAAACTAGCTATGCAATATATGTATTTCCAAGAGCCCGTAGCGGTTCACGGGTGGGCTAGATAAACGCAGTAAAGGGACATCATTATCGCCATCTCTTGCCTGAAGACAAAAATCCTAACATTTACGATTCTCGTTCAGCGGTATCAGCGTTATATCAGTTGATCATTTGACTCTATCAGTTGGGCAAACTACGGGGAGGTAATCACGAACTTGATTAATCAAGTTCATGATTATGACGTCATGAAAATAGGGCGTGGCATGACCATATAAGGAGTTGTAATCAAGATTTTGATTACTTTTCGTGCACCGAACTATTCAAGTGTTTCGTTTCGATTGTTATAATGTCCATATCGACACGATTTTTTACCAGGTGAAACGCAATATTCTATTCTCCCGAAATGATATGGACCGGTAGCAGTGGGATATGTACTTTAGCTCATATGGCGAAAGATAAACTGCTAGCCTAACTTTTTCAGAAAAGTGATATTTTTTAAAGCCCTTTTTAGGCGGATATTATTCTTTTATCCGCATTTTTACGTTTCTAATTTAAAAATAAATAATTGGACATTCATTTTACACACGTCTTAAATTGGTCGTAATAAACATTTCTTCCAAAAGGCACCGTCGCCTGTTAGCACGCCGCCATTTGTCGTGTTGTCGGTGTGTGGGTGAGGCCGGAAATTAGCGCCGAATTATTGGTAATTTGGTTCTTATAGGTAAAATTAGCATTTTTTCAATAATTTAGATCATGTTTGTAAATTTGAATAGCCTCAACGTTCATGTGCGTCGGTATAAATGTTGAAATATCGCGATAGAATTTATGATGATTTTGTAGGCTATCATGGCGCATGCTTTCCGCGGTATAATATTTTAATTATTTACAAAGTGTATTGCTATTTACATGGTTATAGTATATCTTAAAGTAAATAATAGGCATAGTTTGTTGTTTGGGGCAATTGTTGATTAGAGAGGCACATTTAACTGCCCACAGTAGCTAGAAATGTTGTGGCCTGGCAGGTTGTGCAGAAGTTTGTAGTGTGGCCATATCATTTATTCAGTCAATTGTCTGTGCAAGTAGGGACCAATAGGATATATCTTTTAGTTTTTAATGAAAAGTTAAATTTGGGCTTATGCTAGGTTATTCATACTTACATTCTAAGTGGCTTTGTCATGGATTCATAGAACAATAATAGAAGTGGTGACTGCAAATGTGTCTGTTTTTCCACAGCTCATCAAAGCACCACCTCCTCGCTGTAGCAGTGGGCGTCGCTGTCACCACAGTATTGTTCAGGAAGCTCATGATAAAGGTACCTATGGTCCTACGTTGAGGAACGCTCAATCAAAAAATGATATGATGAACTTCTTTGGAATTAAGCGGACTAAGTACAGCTACATTTGTATTATGTGCATCGCTCATGCAAGACAGCAGGCCAGGATGCAGGGACACACAGCTGCAGGTATGTATGAATTGTTTTTGCAATAGATGGTTGTAGTGTTTTGTTTTGTCGCTGGTGTGTCACGTTCAGTTTTGTGCATCACGTTCAGACACTACAGTGGTCCAGTCCAGTGTACATTTTGCACACTCAAGCTGGGCATGCTGAAAATAATTCGCTGGATTTGTCGCTGGTGTGTCACGTTCAGTTTTGTGCATCACATTCAGACACTACAGTGGTCCAGTCCAGTGTACATTTTGCACACTCAAGCTGGGCATGCTGAAAATAATTCGCTGGAGCTCCTTCAGTGTGATCTCATGAAGTTGCCTGGCACAACTTTGGAACTTTGTGAGCTCACATGACTCATCCCCAGTTTTGTCCTGACACAGCCCAATCTAATCCTTTTTCAAGATACAGGCATTGTCTAATGCTTTCAAAAAAAAATCATCGTAATCTAAATGCAGAAACTTCTTCACTAATGCATGTGTAATTTGTACCCACATTTTCCAGACTGCCGAGTCTGAGGCATTATACATTATTTTCACATCATGTGCCGAAATGTAGTACCTATCAGTGCCCTGCGCCAACTCATCGAGGCCTCTTGCACCAAACTACCTACCTAGATAAATTCCGATTTTACCTAAATTCTCTTGCACCAAACTACCTACCAAAAAACGCTACCGTGAAAATTTACCTAGAAATTCTACCGAGCGGCATGAGAACTTACCAATTGTTAAAGTCCGACCGACTGTTTTCCTCTTGCACCGAAAGCCGGAAAGTAGTACTCGCGGAGGAAATTTTGACGTTTTAAAGGTAAATTCGGGCCTCCAAAATAACTAGCAAAAGCTTAGGTAAAAGTGAAGTCATCGCAACAGTGAAGACATTGAAAAGGTGAGTGAGATGAACTATTGTGTAAATAATGATATCAAAATGTTTCTCTTGCTTGGTAATGTTTCATCTATGCATGACGTAGCCAATAACACATAATAAATATCAATATTCTTGAGAAAATTGCCATGCACTGTAGAAGGCTTGAGACTGAGTTTGATTGCTTTTAAATATGCATTTAAAGGTGATAATTGTGGCATTAGCCCACTAGGAAAATTGAGTACGTTAGGTATCATGTTTTGTTAAAAATGCTTGCTCTCTGTAATGAATTGCAATGAAAAGTCAAAAAAATCTTCCCTTAATGTGTATGTTCTTCATTTCAAATGCTGACAATAAATAGGTGTCTTTCTATCAAAATCAAAATGTCACAATGACAACACTCGCTGGGTTAAGGGATCATTTGCAAACTAATTGACATGGTCAAAACAATAAAATTCATGTGCTCTTCAAAATAAAGAGAGGCATCTAAATATGACAAAAGCCGAGGTACATCAAACAGTCAATGTTGAAAAAGAAAAATTACAATTTCTGCTCTATGCTCTCAAGAAAACTTTAATTTGAGATTACTGGATATTTCATCTTCCATTATTACGGAGCGAGCGAAGCGAGCGTAGTCTTTCCTTAGATTAACGGAAATTTCTGAGTATGAGCGACCGGCCGGCCGGCCGGCCGGCCGGCCGGCCGGCCGTGGTCACGCTTCTGCGAGGCTTATATCTCAGCAACCACTTGACCGATTTACATGCGGTAATTTTTGTAGGGTAGCTTCATTCCTTCTACCAAGTATTGGACTATTCCCGATGCATGTGGGTGACCCCTTATGCACGTGCCACGTGCAAAACGAAGAGGTGTCACTTTTGTAATTGTTGCAATATCTCGGTAACTACTTGGCCGATTGCGCTGAAAGTTGGCATGTAGGTAGGCACCCACTAGGCACTGCATATACATGTGCCAGAGTTGGGGTGCTGCTGCACGTGCGCACGTGCAGGGGTCGTTTCCAGATCTCGAGAACGGCTGGACCGATTGCGCTCAAATTTGGTACACGGTTAGGGACCGGTTAGTAGGGTGCCGTGCACAAGTCAGTTGGGACCCATTTTGCACGTGCGCACGTGCAGGGTGCCGCTTCCAGATCTCGAGAACGGCTGGGCCGATTGTACCCAAATTTGGCACATCGCTAGAGACCAGTTAGTAGGGTGCCGTGCACAAGTCAGTTGGAGGTACCCCCTCGCAATTTCGCACGTGCAAGGCTCACCCTCTCGCTCGCTCCGTTAGTCGCCCCAAAAGGCGTTATACTGGTAGTACATCTCAAGTGGCACGTCAAAGATATTCGGTAGCTGTTAGGTAGGTTAGTTTAGTATCATATGTGCATGGAGGCATGTGATAGATCAATTACATCAGTGGATCTAAAAACAAAAAGATAAGATCATACCAGAATTTGGATCCCACACAAAAATTATTTCTTGCGTCTATGATCTAATAAGATCTGACAACAAACCAAAGCATAAGCCAATAACAGCTGTTCGCACAAGGATTTAAGCTCTACCACCATTTGCAAAATGTGAAGCGGTTTTCCAGTGTGATTTGATGTCCTTAAGTATCACAAAACTATAAATTGACAGTAGTGGCGGAACACCTTCAGTTAGGGGGGGGGGGGGTACTGCTGACTTTTGGTCTCATTCTTTCCATGCAATGCCCATAGGGCTAATGTTAAAATGCCAAAATCAAAGGGGGGCACGGTACCCAGGTGCCCTCCCCGCAGTGTTCTAAAATTGGATATTGGTTGGGTGTGCCGATGAAGAAAAAAATCCTAGGATGAGAAAAAAGAAAGCAAGTAACTGCAGTATTTTTGCAAAATGGTGTAATGCCAATTTTTATGCTAACTGATAAACCAGGATTTCATGTCAGGATCTTGACAGGGTGTGGAACAAAAGGATGTGGGTGCATCACTGTCAAGTGACATGTGAACTGGCTGTTGGGAATACATGCAACTCTTTTCAGAGATGTCATTCATATTTCGGTTGTCATATTATGTCATTCATATAAGTCGGTCATTCATATTTTAGGGATGAAAATATTCTCCCCATTAGGTGTGATTTGCCACCAAAAAGACTGAAAAATGAAACACCGCCTCCCCATTCCGCCGCCTATGTAAATTGCTATGTGTATTGTGTAATCACACAATATCCCTGAAACACCTAATGTAAATTGCCACAAATGATCCCATTATGATTATATGGCCACAAAAAGAGAGCACCGACAGAGGTAATGATGTATGATACCAATGAAACCATCAACAAATTATATAGGTAACTGGATACATGATTGTGATGCTATTGTAGGTGAGATCAAGATCAGTGGTATTAGAGTTTAAGAACATAATTCAGATCCCAGGTCAATTTCTCGGACCCATGTGAATGACTGTCTAGTAAAATTATATTTTCATCAACAGGGCTTTTTAAGAAAGTGGCCTTGTGGAGCACTATCAATAATTTTACAGAACTTATAAATCTGCACTTGTTACTGATGTGCTCTAGCTCGCACCAACTAAACTGGAATTCAGCACCACCCAATGCAGTCACTTATAAGAACGTATTTTATGAACATTTTTCTAGGTTGACGTGGTTTGAGTCGTGAAATACAGGTTTTTATTTAATTCTTAGCCTAGGGTGCAACAGAGGGATTTCATCTGATACTTGTTTTATTTCTTCTGGTTAAAAACAGTAATATGATTTACGAAGCTTTGCCCATGTTAAATTTTGCCTGGAATCACTTGTGCACTATGCATAGGTATCATTCCAGCTTGAGCTGCCATTATCTCCCCTTCCCTTACCTTACCTTCTCACAGTCAATCACGAAAAATGGCTTTGGTGACCCTTATACACAGATGTGAATTTCCCAGCCATGGGGAAATTTTATTCAGTAACACATGCCCTTGAATCCACCAAATATACCGATTCTCAACTTCAATGGCCTCGACTCGCGCCACGTGGAAATGGACCCCAACAATTCGCGCGCTAACTGCGCCAGACCGCGTTATTTCCCCCCGTCATAGAGAAATGAACTCTTCCAAGCTATCGATGTAGCAAATAACTTGTATAAATAGGCATTTAAAATTTTGTGCTATTTTCAATGTTCATGTTGCCGGTAGAAGCCACATGTTTTTGAGTTGTTTATATTTTTTTGTAACATGTATTTCAATTTTATTTGTTGACGAGCAACAACTTTGTTATCGATATTCATGCAGTGGCGTTGTCAGTCAGCCGTCAGGCAGGGGCCAAAGAAGCCAAAACTCTTTGTAATTTGTTAAGATAAACAGCTTCACTCTAAAACGTCCTCAGTCACTCGTTTTGTTATAAACATATCACCTTCTGCAACTAATTAATTTCTAATGGAAGGGGCTAGTCGCTAGTCCCGTCATGTTCGGCCACGGCCCGCATGAATCCGCCTATGACGGGCGATGGCCATTCCACTGCGGAGTGGGAAGTGGGAACAGCCGTTAGATGTCTCTCTACATTTCATATAGGTGTCGCGCTAGAAGGGCACTCGGGAGCCACAGCATTGTTGACCTCTATATTCGCGGACCAAAGCGTTAGCAGATAGATAAAGACGGTCTCGTACGCTCCCCTGTAGAGAGGGGGGGGGAGACCCAAAACATATGTTCAAAATTAAAAAAAAAAACACTCCAAACCACTCCAAAAACCAGCCTGACAGATAAGATCCTTCACCTGGCGGCTGGTGCCTCCTGTGAATAACTGCTAGTGTCTGTATCTGACCACTAGGGCCCCTCTGACTCCTCGAGGTCAATGAAATAAGGTTTCGCTCGTCAGTTTTACCAGGGCTATCAGAGGCCGTTTGAATTTTGACGATCGGCCCAGTACCTAGTTTCGGAGATAAGGAGGGGGATCTGTAGAGTCGCCCCCCCCCGTCTCCAGCCACTCGCGTTATGGAAAATATCCCAGTCATGCGCGGGTTAAGGATTAAATTACCTACTTACATGTGTGATACGCAGTTTTGTCATAGTCATAGTTGCTGACGTACATGTGCCGTAAAAAAACATTGCGATGAGTAGGTGTACCCACTTGTGTCCGCAAGCCATGCTTTTAAATGGTGCCGACCACGGATCAAAACCATCTTATGCATGTTGCTTCCAGATAACGCCTATGCATTGCCGGATTGACTATGGCCGATGATGACAATTTTGAGCCTCGGGAGCGCCGCCAGCGGAGGCTCCGTCCGCGCATCAACATGGGAGCACTGCATCCAACGACATTCAGGTGACTACTTAATGTGCATGGGTGCCTGTATGCCGCATGTCAAGAGTGTCATTGTATTCATTCGAAAGCTTTATATAACCTTAAATCCCGTTTCTCTTTAGGGAAAACTTCCGCCTCAGCGTCGAGGTCGCCACTGCACTGGAAGACCTCATTAGCGGAACGGTGGCGCACGACACGGGCTTAAATATGGCACTGACACCTCGCCAGCAGCTGCTCGTGTCGCTGCGGTTCTATGCTACCGGTGCGTATCTGCGCCTGGTGGGAGACGGCCACGGCGTCTCCGAGGCCACCGTGTGCCGCGCCATTCACCGCGTGACGGATGCGATAATCCACCGCTGCCCAGGGGCCATCACCTGGCCGAGCGACCCGGCGGCTCTCGGACGTCTCAAGGAGGACTTTCGACAGGTCGCCGGGCTGCCCGACATCGTGGGGTGCATCGACGGCACCCATGTACGCCTCACCGTCCCCCGAGAGCAGCGGGAGGCGTATATCAATAGGAAAGGCTTCCCGTCCCTCAATGTGATGGCTGTCGCTGCACCCGACCGCTCAATCGTTGCATTGAGCGTGCATTGTGGCGGTCGGGTGCACGACGCCCGAGTTTTAGCGACATCAGGGCTGCCCGACTATTTCCGGAATGGAAATCCTGTAATGGGCGCCATGATGCTGGGGGACAGTGGCTACGGCCTGTCACCCTGGCTCATGACGCCCATTGCAGACCCCACCACCGCCGAGGAGCGCGCATACAATAACGCTCATGCGCGCACTCGTGTGGTGGTGGAGAACGCCTTCGGCGTTTTGAAAATGCGGTTCGGGGCGCTCGAGTTCGGGCTGCGCCTGAAAAGTGTGGCCCGCTGCGTGGCGGTTATTCACACGTGCTTTATCCTACACAATATGTGTATCAAGGGCGGTGACTTCGGCGAATGGCTCGGACCACTGAGGCAAGATGAAGGAATGGTGCAGGAGCCAGCTGACGGGGCGGCAGAGCTGCCGGCGGCAGGCGCCGAGAGGCGGGCGGGTCTTGTGCGCCGCAATGACCTCGTGCGGCTGTTCGTACGCCATTAGCTGGTCGATACTCGGGCCAACCGCAGCTAGGCGACAGCAGAGTCGTCTACTCATGGCCAGTGGCCTATGGCTATGTACGTGTGCTTGAGTGTTTGTGTATTTGTATACGCTTGGGGATAGGGAGAGAAGAGGGAGCGAGGGGTATAGGGAGCGAGCGGGAGAGGGAGCGAAAGGGAGAGGGAGAGCAGCAAATAAAAACATGTTTGATGGTTGCTAGCCTTTTTGTAAGGTATTTGCGATTGACAGTGTGTTTATGTTTGACCTTTGAGTGAAACTTCTGTACCTACCATGTGTAATGGTTAGGTGTTCGTTTACAATTCATGTGACATACGATTCAGTCCAAGCCAGAACCATGAAGAGGAAGCTTGAAACTAATTACTTCTTAAAACGGTTTATTTCCTTCACAAGAAAGGAATAATATATTTGAGGCGTATTTCATTCACGTGACTGTCAAACCGAACTAATTAAGTTAACTTTTTCCTTAAAAACAAAACAAACAAATTTAGCCAGAGTCGCCACCAACTTCGACAGCTCCGGCTCCGCCTCCATCTCCGGGCAAAAGATGCCGGCTCCGGCGGCTCCGGATCCAGCTCTAGCTGCGGTTCCGCAGCCCTGCTCATAGCACATATGTCAGGGTTGGTGTGGGAGTTCCTCCCTGCAGCATGTCCTCCAGGATCTGTAAGCTGAGGTAGGTGCGGAGCAGGGTCACCTCCTCCGGCGTCCGTCTGAAGAGTGGCGTTGAGCGGATGAGCTGGAGGCGCGCTTCAATCTCATCGCGGTTTCTCTCCGATGCCTGGGACGCTCTAGTCGAGAGGGCCACGTCAGCTGACGAGGCCTCGCCGGTCGAGAGAGCCGTGGCGCTCTCCTGGGACGCACCAATCGAGAGGGCTGCGTCAGCTGACGAGGCCTCGCCGGTCGAGAGAGCCGTGACGCTCTCCTGGGACGCTCCAGTCGGGAGGGCTGGGTCAGCTGACGAGGCCTTGCCGGTCGAGAGAGCCGTGGCGCTCCCCTGGGAGTGGGACGGAACAGTCGAAGGGGCTGCGTCAGCTGACGAGGCCTTGCCGGACGAGAGAGCCATGGCGCTTTCCTGGGGCGGACCAGTCGAAGGGGTTGTTGCGTTTGACGAGCCTGCCCTGGTCGAGGGGACGGTCGAGAGGACCGTGGTGGTTATCGTGGTCGCATTGGTCGCCGGAGACTGGGCGAGCGGCGTGCCCAGCCCTATCAACCGACCGTCTTCTGTAGTGAAGTAGATACTGGGTGCTGATGACGTTTCTCCCGCGGTTGTCAGTGCGGTTTCTGGGCCGGCTTCTTGCTGATTCGTCATCATCTGGCCCCAGGTAATCCCGCCAGGAACCTTAAACGACGTCAGGTAGTTGTCTCTGCCTGCCGGAGTGAAAAAAAAAACAAAGGGATGTAAGAGACAGCGGATCTTGGCGCCCTTTTGCCTCACGCTTACGATGTTAATCCCTTGGGTCTGGGAAGGGGTGCCGTCCCAAAGGTTTTCTTTTTTTTTGTCATGATAGCTTCTAACACACTAACACAGGAGAAAAAGAGCTTAGCTCGGACATGTCTGATCTTTTGTTTAAGCCCTCCAAAGACAATGCATAAAAAATATTTAACACTACTATGTACCGTTACATCTGAAGGCTGAAAGTAACATACCCACGCAATCCATGACGGTATCGTCGAGCTGGGTCCAGACCACTGCACCTGCCCCCGACTGGTTCTTTTGCTGGAATTTTTCTGCAACAGAGGTAAGTGTACGGCGTGAATATTTGCTCTGTGGGGGATATCAACCAAAACATGTGCGGCTCGGTTCGTCAAAAGCTGTTTCTAAAGAACTAACGCCTTAAAAAAATTGAAGTCTGCGTATATGATATAAGGTGCGTTATTTGGTTAAATGCCATTGTGCTAGCACTGCAGTGTGCTTAATTGCGATGTCGTAGTGGTGGTAACAATGGTTACTCACTTTTTGTCCGGTCTTGGGTGTTTTTTATAACACCCTGCAGCATGCTTTGCGTCGATGTTGCGTCATTTATCAGGCCAAGTTGAATGGCTCGCTCGCGTATGCGACCCCATTCTTGAAGCCTACGCGAGCGGGCATTGGGGCCCTTAAACTCTCCATAAAGTGTCTGGAAAAGGAGAACGTTGACACACTTTATTTCCATATCTGTTGGGTGGGTAATCAGGCAAAACTCAGCAGATACAGCCGGTATCATAAGTACCTACTCCGCCTCCCGAGATTCACCATTGCAAATGATTTGTCTACTTTGTAGGAGAACAAACAAATTGTAATGCTCGAAGGATACTAAAAGTTAGCCTTAAACTGCACAACATGGTCGATGAGTTTGTAATCCAAGAATCTATTGGCATCGGAATAACTTTTCCTCCAATGTTTCCTCTAGTTACAACGCAATGTTGTCGCTCCCTCGGCCTAGAGAAGTTTAAAAATGACAAACTTTAATGGTAACATTTATCATAATAAAAATGTTACGGGCGCAGAAGCCTGCGAAGAAGTGATATTCGAGGACTCTTTGAAAATGACGAACATTTTTTGACGAACATTTGTAAACCTTCGGATTTAGAACCTCCGAAGGTTCTAATTTCGTCTCTGATCCACCCGCGTCCATCTCTGACTCCCCCCTCCACATCTTGCGTCTTTCGTGTTTGTATTATATGAATTCCTGTGTGCTGCAATGTAACCGGACTCGTGATGACGATAATCTTTCAGCTCTATATTTGCGTATAGAGTTCAGACTACAATTTGCGTATCGATACTACAATTTGCGTATCGATGTCGGAAAATTGACATTTGGAAAAGTAGCTTTTCCAAGTAAATAAGCATCCTGACTTGGGCATTGCAGCTGGCCTCAAAAGCTGTATTTTGATGATATTTCGACGACGCATAATTTAAGAATAGTAATTACGATTTGTGTGTAGGTATAATATGCATCCTTCACGGCAGAGAGTCGTGAAGGATGCACGGCTAAATCGTGTTCCCGGCTGTGGCGGGAAGCCGTCGCGCGTCGGCGCGCGGGCGCGGGCAGAGCGCGTGGAAGACAGAGGTGTCTTACATATTCATAACTAGCTATCTGTTTCTCGGACATTCATAGCCCATTTCGTCTCAAGACTCAAGGCCCTCTTCACCTTAGCAGGGGGGGGGGGGAAGTGCCATCTTTTGCAGGGACCGAGCCCGTGTCGCGTTGACCACATTTAGCCATTTTGTCCCAGTTTTGCATTTCATTTTTAACGCGTTAAGTCTATCAAGCGAATTCAAATTTGCGAAAATCTATTCCATTTCCGGCCACATACTACGCACTATCCAGACGGACGAATGCACTATAAAAGGTATAGACGCATATGGTGATGGTGCCTACCAGGGCTGCGGTGTAAGTCGGAGTCGGAGTCGGGCGGAGTCGACAGTTCTGATCGGAGTCTGAGTCGGGATACGTTTGGAAAAACTGGAGCCGGAGTCACAAGAAATCCAGCGACTTCACAAACCTAGCAAGGCTTTGGAGTCGGCGTCTGTCTGAGTTGGAGTCGGTCGGAGTTGACAATGCCACCCGGAGTCGAAATCGGAGCTTTTAAAGCTGGAGTCGGAGTCTGAGTCACCGAAAACTAATCGACTTCGCATCTCTGGTAGGTACCAGAGTCTACTACCTATATAAAATTAGCCATGAGGCTGCTTGAAATTTGTGTCTAGTACGTATGCATAACTATGTAGAATTGCATGCTCTTTTTTAATAGTGACGGTACACTACATAGGAACTGGAACCATTTAATTCAATTGCCCACATTAAATGCCTCCCCCGAACAAAGAAAAAATTAAGGAATTGTTTAATTTTATCTGAGCTTGGATACCTAGGTACACATCATATCATCAAGCACGTTTAGGAACACAGGGATTGTTGCAATGTTACAGCTCCACCCGTGATGTTGCCAAGGATGCTAATGGTGCATTGTAATTTACAAAATTATGCCTACCCTCTAAATATGCGAAGATCACGGCATCGAAATTATCGCAAAATAAATGAGCTAGAGCCTCGTCAAAAATGCTATATAAACGCGACTCCTATCTTGGATAGCGCAGTCGCACTTACCTTGCGTTCATCACGGATGAGCTGAAACAGTTCAAGCTTTTTCTGTTCCGCAATTATTCGCTTCATCTCCGCTTGCACTTATCTTTTGCTCGTTCGATTGAGAATTAATAGTTAAGAATTATCATATGAATACCAAGGGACGCGAAGGATGAGTAGTTTTGAAACAAGCGGTCAGATACGCCACTTTGTTGCCATGGCAACGTCAACCACATTATAATTTAATTTACTCAATCTTTTCATTGAATAAAGATATATATGTATTCGAAATAATTATTGGAAGCTAGTAAAGGTTGAAAATACGTTTTAACAAAACAATTTTTTTTCTTTTCCGTTCGTTTTCTAGCACCTTTTTCCTGCCCAGGCCGCCGAACATCCAATCCTAAAAACGCGAGTTGTCAAATTTACCTGGACAGGTAGGTAGAATGGTGCAAGAGAAGTTGCCGCCGCAGGTAGTTTTACTAGGTAGGTATTTTGCTGATTCTACCTAGCTAGGTAGTTTGGTGCAAGAGGCCTCAGGTCCATGTCTTGTCTTGTTCGCCTTGTTACATCCGCCTACCTCTCCTCCATCATTTCTTCCTTCCATCTTTCCTTGCTTCCTTCCTCACTCCCTCTCCTTCCTCTCCTCTCCTCTCCTTCCTCTCCTCTCCTCTCCTCTCCTCTCCTCTCTCCCCTCCCCTCCCCTCCTCTCTCCCTCTATCCCTCTCTCTCTCTCTCTCTCTCTCTCTCTCTCTCTCTCTCTCTCTCTCTCTCTCTCTCTCTCCTTTACTTTACTCTTTCCCTCCTTCTCTCCTATTCTTTCTCCTCCATTTTCTCCCACGCAATGTGAAGTGTACCTATAATTTGGTTATGAACATTTTGCAGGGGATGAGCTGGAGAACCTGCAGCGCATTCTCCAAGAGACGACGGAAGCCAACGGAGGCCCGCAAAACTTTCCATCCCATAATCGTGAATGGAGAGCTGGGCGGGGAAGACGCGGTATTCGTCGAGGCCCAGGAGGTGGTATCGGCGCCACCAGACCAAGCATTCCTGCTGTGGCAGGCCACCTTTTGGATTTTTAACATCAAAACTCCTAAAAACGTGGTCAATCTGAATTGGTTTCTGAGAACCAAAGTGTTTGGTGGGGTGAAGGCCGATGTGCCGCCATCAGCGGCGGCCATTGCGACCGTGAAGCAAGTGGAGTGAGATCCCCGTAGAGCATGCCGCTGCGGGGTGTCGGAAGCGTTTGCCAATTCTTTGAGCCTTCCACCGGCAGGACTATAAATACACATTTCTTGAAATATATCTTTGATCTGTGCTTGGTTACACGGGCTCCGGGTTGTGACGCTATTCGTCCAATATATGTGGTCGACGGTCGTATGCAGATTATCATTTGAGCTGACTTATGATCAGGCCGCTTATCGCGGACAGCGGTGTTCTTGCTCGGGGCGGTCTTTTTTCAGCTCCGTGTTCGGCAATGTGAGCGAGCAAGCGCGAGAAGAGGTGTGCTCGTGCACAAGTTCACATGTGTGTGCCACATCCCTAACTCGTCTAAAGCTTACACAGCTATTGAGTCTCTAGCCACCCACCAAAATTGAAAAACAATCGGTGACGCCGTTCCGGAGATACAGAAATAAGGTGCGCGTGTGCAAATATATCCTATCCCCGATTCGTCCAAAGCTTATAGCTAATCCGCTTCCAGCCACACACAAAATTTGAACAGGCTCGGTCAAGTCATTCATGAGAAACATTAACTGCAACATAAATTCCATCCCACCAAAACTGACTGATTTTGTCTATTATATACCTACACCATTATCATTGTATCTTTTAATTAGCTGCATCGTTCAACGCTCGCCAGTAGCACGATCAGCGCGATCAAAATCGTGATTAGCCAGCTGAATGCGAAATCAAGATCATGATTAGCCAGCTGGCTGCGTAATCAAGAAGTTGATCATCGGACTCCCGGGACGACGCCTCGTAATCAAGTTGTTGATTACGTTTTGGTTGCAATCTACCGCCTCACGATTTTCAACTTGAATCATTCAAAGATTACACTTGTAGAGTGACTTCTTCTCTATCCGTCTTAAAATTTTCGTGCATCTCCGTAGACCCTGAATCGAGATTCGGCCGTTTTCGTGACGGGCTGCAAACATGACCAAATATGGGCATAAAATAATCATGAACTTGATTAATCAAGTTCTTGATTACCTCCCCGTAGTTTGCCCAACTGCTATCCCATTTTCCCAGGAGTATTGCGGGCTGCTTTCGCTGTGAACCGGCCGGAAGGAGAAGGGAACGGGGCGACGGCGGGAGCACGGAAGCTAATTCAAGACGCTCTGCAGCCCCGCCGGTAGGTGGTTGCGAGATCTGCGAATCACCGACAGTGGCGACGTCTGGTGAGTCAACCGAGTACCCTCGTACTCCCGTGCCAGGCTGCCGCAACTCGTGTCGTGAATGAAAAAGGCAGGCGAATGGGAGGAGAGACAGAAAAGGCTGTGGTGCGTCCGGTAGAGGAGCTTTTATCCAAACTGCCAGACCGGAGAGCTAGTAAGCGATCGGGCGGGTGACGGTATGTGAGCGGCTCACAGTGTGCGGCTGAATTGACGACAGCTGCCTTTTCGGTGACTGGTGTTGTTGTGGTTGGCTGGTCCTCAGTTTATCCGTGCCGCTGGGTTTATTCATTGTGTGAGCGGCAGCGCAGTTCCCAGTTGAGACCGCTGCTGTAGAGCCAGGGGCCGCGTATACAGTCTCCTAGAACTCTCCTCGCCGCCAGTCTAGTCGATAACAGGGTCTCACTGCGAGTTTGTTCACCTGGTGTTTGTCCTATTCTTATTACGTTTTATCCTATTTTTCTGTAACAAGTTGCTGTAGTTAGCGTTGTAATTCATTATTTATGGTCCTTAATGCGGCCTTACAGTGGTGCACACATGCTAGATGTATCATACACTTACCTACCATGTGGTGGGTACATGATAGGACGGTATTCTGTACGATTATCTGTCAGGCGTCGCTCCTTTTCCCCATGGAAGTGGCAGTCTTTTGAAACCGTCAAAGGTGACAATCATTAAAAGTTCGTCCGGTGGAGGCTAGACCGCTCTCCTCTGTCACACTGAAGTGGGTTACGCCCTGGTAATTTTATCCACTGACGAAGTTGAATGTTTTGTTGTTTGTGTGGCCACATCGACATTACTGCCTGTTGGCACCAGCCGAGATTGATTGGTGCCAGGTCGCTGGCTAAGCGCTACCGCTGTGGCTGGCACTTCGCGCACAGTTACCGAGGAATGTTGTTTTGCTGCTAACATCTCTGCTACACTTAGTGATGCCCACATCGTTGGTAGCGGACTCAGTCTGACGTTCTGTCGTTACTGCTTGACTGACAAAAACTATCTAGTGTTGGTAGTATCAAAAAGGTCACCTCTCTTTTCACTTTTTTGTTGGGGATCATCCCTCCTTCCGTCCCCTACATTTTCCCTAAGAAAGATCAAAATGTTTTCGGCACATGCCATTGTATTCGCATAAAAGACTTAGTCCTTCTCGTGTTGGTTTGTCAGCTAGTGGCACGGTCCAAATAATCGATGATCAATGTGCATAGCTAACCATGCGCTTACCGTTCTCCACGCTTCTGGAAAACAAAACATGTCACTGTTGGTTATTTGTTGAGCTTTCCGTTGATTCAGCCCACTTCGAGCACATGTGGTGCCGTGGTGGTCAGTAATAATGACTTGACTCTGTTGTACAATTGCAGATATATAATATTGTCCTGTAGGTATGTTCCTTGTTGTATTGAGCCTTATTTATGAACTTTTGCCATTGTTTCATAGCATACACCTGCTAACTACAATGCTGGCATTAAATAGACAGTTTAGCCACGCAGCTTTCTGAATGTGAGGTTCTCAAGAGAGCTGGCATAATCCAGTGTGCAACATCGAGCTGCCTTTTGAGGAACTGGCCTGACGGGTCATAGAAACGTATGGCTGTGGTATGTGTAGATGGCAGGTGGCTGGCCACCGGTTGGGAAGACTGGACGCGCTCTGAACCTAGTTCCCGTTTTGTCTGCTTGTAGTCGAGTTCAACGATATGAAGTTAATCTGCTCTGCCTGCACCAGAAGCGAGGACGTTTTGTATGCTTACGCCTCGCACTGTGTTTATGATGTAACTTGACAAATATACTACCAAACATTACAGCCGCTTCTTGTAATTTTTGTTAACTTCATTGATTTTTTGAGTCACTAACGCGTACTGACATTCCATTCGGGTTTTGATCAAATGCTGAATGCCAACGGCATCTAGTTCTTAAGAATTATATTTCTCGTGAATGTGGGCTTCCTGATTCGTTCAATATGCTTATGCCTAAAATGGGTCTAATATTCGACCTTTCCCGTAATGTCTACTCCCCGAACTTAACTTATTCATGTACATACTTTAAATAAAGGGGAGAGCTAGGGCGAAACAGGATAAGGAATGATTTTCAGTCGATCATCACAAGAATAGGAAACCATCTGAGAGGTTCTTCAATGTCTCTCCCTTTACTAGTCTCGGCTAGAATGGGCGTCGGCCACATCGGACTTCACCTGCGTCGTTGTCGCTGACCTCTGCTCGCTCAACACACCCTCAGGCCTCGCCTGGCACCGAGATTGTAAATCGAACCGCCCTCGCCCCTCCCCCGCCCCTCTGCGGGCTCCGCCAGCCGCCCGCTGGCCGCCGGCCCACCTCCCCACCCCTCTGCCTTCCCCACCCCCCTCTGCCTGCCTGCCTCCCACCCCTCCCCGATAGCCGAGAGCTGTCAGCCGCGGCACCGGGCGCGTTTGGCAGGAGAGCGACAGAGGCGTCTGCTGGGCCGCTCTAAGATGTGTTCTCCCTCTCGATACTGGGATGCTAAAGACGATATCATATAATATCATCACGATATGATATAATGATATAAAAGTGCAACTACGAGCATCACAGAACAGGTGGCTGGCTAGAACATACTCCAAATGTTTGCTTTCTCGTCGAGTGAAATTCATGCCTGCGAAGGTGTCTGTATTCTGGCAGGGACTGGAAAACAGATTACAATACGTATATTTATTGTCAACTCACTGCAGCGATTCAATACAAATGAATCAATTTCGTTCTGAGAGCGGCCCGGCGCGGGCGGCCGTTTGCGTGGAGTCGACGAGACGACGGACGAGCGATCGGCTCGCGTCCGTCTAACACAAGTCATCTGGCACAGTTCACAGACAGACAGACGAGAAAATAGAGAACAGCGCAGCGGAGATAGATACATCTGCTCCAGTCCAGCGCAGCGGGGATAGACAGGCGTGTAAGTGGATAAAGAGCAACCAAGGACAGACTCGAGCGGTCGCTACAACTAAAAATTCGATACTTATAAGTGAGAACTTTAGAAGGCGTATAGCAATGAAACAAATAGAATATTAATGCAGCAGTAAGCGGAAGAGAAGCGAAGTGAAAGAATATAGGCGGGTGTTTCGAAGATAGGCTGGATATAGCTCGGATGGCGGGTTTATTCAGCGGCGGGAGCTGGCGCTTCGGCGGGCGCCGCCTCCGCTGGAGCCGCCTCCGCTGGGGCCGACTCTGCTGGGGCTTCCTCCGCGGGAGCTGCCTCCGCGGGCGCCGCCTCCGCCGGAGCCCCCTCCGCGGGCGCCTCAGCGGGCGCGGCGTCGGCGGCGGGCGCGTCTGCCGGCGGGGCGTCGGCGGCGGGCGCCGCGTCGGCCGGGGCGGCGCCGTCGGTGGCACTGGTCTCGGCGGCCGGCGCTGCTGGGGACAGGCGGACAGACGTCACCGTCAGTGGCCGTCAGGTGACGGCGCCGGCGTCCGCTTGGCACGGCCGGACGCTATTTGCGGCCCGGCCGGTCCAGCGGCGTCTAATTGGGGCGGGCGCGCAATGCGTCATCCGGCGGAGGACAGGCGACGAAAATGGCTACCGGCGCCAGAACGGGCGGCCGGGCGGCGGACCCTCGCAGAGGTCACCGCAGCGCCGCCACGGAAACTGATCAACATATCAACACTTCGCGTGGCCAAGAGCCCAGTCATGTTTCATTGAATTAATGATTACACACATAAAGCCCGCGCTGATTGAAACTGATAATCATGTGATGACTGATTAAGTGAGGAAGATTGACGATAGTGGCCTGATGAACGGTGACGAATAATGACACGGCCTCGAGTGACGTCAGAGCTGAATTACGTAACGTCCCCGGTGACTCCGTGGTATGCTTACCTTCGGCAGGGGCCGACTCCGCAGCGCCCTCCTCGCCTTCCTGTGGACACAGACGCGGTCGATGAGCTCTCGGAAACCGTATAACACGGGACAGGGACAGTATCAGACGCTCGGTATGATGGACGGTACTTTGTAACTTATTCATTCCTGTCTGAAACGGAGATATACGTTTTTTCAAGATATACGTTTTATTTGAATCGGTCAAGTTTGCGAATCGAGCACCGGCAATATTGAAATCACTAGCCGGAGGAGATGTGGTCTGTTTCGTTACACCCGCCCTGAGGTGCCCGTCACGGGACCGAGGACCTGCTGTCTCCCCCGGGCTCACCTTCTTTTCGGCACCCCCTTCTCCCTCTCCTCCTTCGCCGCCCTCGCCTCCTTCCTCGTCGTGTTTCGGAGCCCACTCGGGCTTACCGGCCTACAATCACACTCATGTTAGGTGGATACATTCACAGGACAGAAAGAGCGTCATGGCTGGAACTTGCTGCGCTGAACTGAGTTTAAGATTGAGACCGGCCTGCTATAGCAGTTGCCACAAGTTATACAATTGGATTTACGTTGCGAGTTGATCGAACTGATTCTTTCTTGCATTCAGAACAGAAGAGAGGTGTGAGATTTTTAAGATTTTAATTTTACAGAAGAGAGGTGTGAGATTTGATGGGACGGGTAGAGACATGCATTGAGATCCTGCTCACACAATAGTATGGAACCGTTAGCATGCAAATCGTTGACAGTAGGTATGCTCGACCGGGCGCTTAGAAAGCGCTCGGTTGTGCCGTTGTAGCATCGCAAAAGTTGCGAAAAGAAATTGAAGATAAAAATCGCGCATAGCTCAACAGTTTGTTAACGTCGTTAGTTCACTGAATTTCTCAAACGTAAAAGGAAACTTTGAAATTTGTTAAAATGAGCCAGAAGATGGCCAAAGCGACAGATATCGATCGGTAGGTAACGGCGTTACACGATTCGTTTGTTACAAGCTGTTGCAATATTTAGCTTTATTCACAGTAAAACACTTGTTAGCTGCAAGAGATATGGTAAAACTGACCTGTTTCTTGCTTTACTTTTGTCAAGTCTACAGCATGTATGCATAAGCTGTCAGTTTTTTACTACGGTGCGCGTAAAATTATCGTATATTTATTTCGCCAGACGACGAGCACCGATGCGAGTAGAAAATTACGCTATTGACCGAGCAGTGGGCGGAAACGGCGGCCGCAGTGCTCTGCAGCTGCGCAGTGCCCGGCGCAGTGGAAACGGCCGGCGGCCGGTGCAGTGGACCGACCGCTGCCGGGACGGGACGGCCGGTCGGCCCGTGCAGTGGACGGCCGGTCGGCCCGCGCCACCAGACGGCGGCGCCGGCGGGCCGCGGGACGACGGGCGCGGCGGGGACAGGGTGGCGGGACGCGCGCGGACGCTCACACAGCCTTCTTCTGCTGCCATTCGGCCTTCTCCTTGACCTGAAAACAGAGCTGCCGCTCAGCGCCCGGCCGGCGGACCGGGTCGGCCGGGAGCCGCCGCCGCTGGGCGCCAGCCAGCGCTATTTCGAGCCCGCTCGGCACTGACGCCCGAGCGGGCCGAAAGCGGCGCGCCGGCCGCGCCCAAACTGTGTACACTGGCTCAACAGGCGGGTGGGCGGGCGGAGCAGCGCACTATTTACGGGTCGGTCTAAAGGGCGGTCTGCACACCCACCGGCCGATCGGCGCTCAGTGATGCAAGATCACCGAGCGCGGCGGCCGGCGGCCGGCGGGCCGAGCAGCTCCGGTCTCCAGTCCGAGAGTCTGAATGGCCCGGACTGCGTCCATCAGCCGGACAGCCGCGACGCCGTGAATTTGGGATGCACTTAGCTCAAATGACGTGAGGAAGGACCTGGGCCAGCGTCATCCGTCTATTTTTAGCCGTGAGATCACGTCTTGTTGGAGCAGTTGCGGCTGGTAATCGAGGTGATGACCCTGCCAGGCGCTGGTACGGTACTGTTTTTCAGAACCTCAGACCGGAGACCGCATGAAAATGCGATATTTGCTATAAGGGACACACTTTTGGCTAGACTACACACTAACAGGTCTATAACTGGTCATAGGTAGGCGGGTTCCAAGTATCTATTTCTAAGTCGGCATCTCTACCTATCTATTTCTATTTCTAAGTACCTAAAGGCAAAGGTAACATGGTGGACTATTCTAGTGTCAGAAATGGATTACCAATTTTCTTAGAACGCAGCTACATTCTGGGACCATTCTGGAACGTGCTTAGGAAGTCTGAAGATATTTGTATGGTGAACTACTCTAATGACGGCGATATGCCGGGTCACTCTCTGGAAATGCAGCTAGAGTTACGTTCTGGGACTGTCCCCGTCATCCGTTCGGCAGTGCCTCCCACCGGCTTCCGACTTACGTCCTTTTCGTCGTCGTCGAGGGTGAACTCCTTCTTCTTGACCTGCTTCAACTGGTTGCGGAAGTTGAACTCAGCCGCCTTCTTCTGGAGCTTGGCGAACTTGTTCTCGTATTTGGACACCTTCTTCAGTGTGGGCTTGATGCTGGAACAGAGAGGGACAGCTGTGTTGATTCCGCTCTTTGGAGATACAAATTGCCAGTCGCCGGGCTCGTTGGCAGCTCATAAGCTGCCGATCTGTCGGGAGCTGGCTTTAAAGCCGAGCCGACGTCGTGGTGTTTATGTTATCATCGACGATTGACGCTAACTGGGAGAAAACTTCACACTTTGATTTATCACGATCTGCTGTTGAGTTAGCTTTTTCTCAGCCGGCACGGTCTTCAGGGAACAAAGCTACGTTGGAAACTCTGAGGCGACATCAGCCGCTCACCCAGCGCTACAAAGTCTACAAAGTCTACAACGCTACAAAGTCGCTACAAACCCCTAAGTTGTAACAGTTTGATATAATGTTTGTTTAGATGCTGCTGCATTTGTATCGTGACTCACAATTTTCCCCGGAGGTCGTTGACGGAAATGTTCAGCTCGTTGATCTGTGAACAGAGGATAATGCCGTTACGATTCCACGTCATGATGCAACGGCTATAACCAAATGATGTGACTGAGGCTTATTTAGCATAACTTATAATAATTTGTTAGCTTAAAATTTTGATGACATTGTTTATCATTAACGATTAATGCATGATGAAGTGTGGTTTAGGCATACATCATGGGTGATAGGTTACAAAGTTTTCGATATAATTTGTTATCATACTTTTTACTTACCTTTCTGCATACTGAAAATGTACGTTTTTAAAGGAAATTGATAGGTACATAAGGTTTTCAAGAATGTACAGGGTGTCCGGATAGTTCTGGCGCTTTTCAACATTTTCTAAAACAAATGCCATTGGTTCATAGATACTAATCAATGGATCAAAACAATGACCAGGGACACCAAGCCACATGCTTCCGCTACGTGCTCATTCAATGTAACCACCGTCGGCGCCGACGACGGCCTCGACGTAGGGGAGGAAGCGTCTGCGGGTTTTGACGATGCGGGGCATTTCCAGGTCCTCCCATGCTGTCATGATGCGAGTCTTCAGCGGCTCCAGGTTGGGGTGAGAAATGGCCTAGATCCTGTTCTACAAAACGCGTAGCACGCCTTAGTCGAGCGGGTCAGGTTAGGAGAATAAGGCGGCCTAATCTCATTTCGCCACGGTGATCTGGCCCGGCAAGCTCCTCTGTCAGTTTAGCTTGAATGGCGGCGGCGTTGTTGGAGGGTGCTCTGTGCTGTTGAAATGCGAAGTGACCCTTAGGGCATGTCGTCTTGACCCTCGGGTTGATGTGGCTGTCCAGGAACCCCTCGTGGGCCAGCCTGTTATTCATTTATTCGACATTGACGAAGATGATGGGACATTTTTGTCCATCAGACCCCGCACTTTCTTCGATTGCCGCGCTGAAATGCTGCTCCGTTCCCATATCGCGTTCGAAACGGTCTGAGGATATTTTTTAAGGAATTCCCGAGTCGAAATAAACCTTTACCTGCTAAACCATTCATCGAAAAACGCCGCATCGCGCTGCAACTCGCGCCTCGTTCAAGTCGCACCCGGCCGCCGCGCGCAGGCATTCAGCGACAAGGCGCATCTTCGCCCATCTACCCATCACTGAAAACGATTTCAAGGTCATATTTACACGACCCCTGGCTGAGCAATCAACGAGGGGTCATGTCTGTGATGATTGGCTGAATGTCCAATAATCACAGCGCGCGTTACACGGCGTCCAAAAGAAGCGCCAGGACTTTCCGGACACCCTGTAGATAAGTTGATTATGTTATGATGCGAGGTGTAATTTAACTTATTGGTAGCTCCGGTAGCTCTTATACAGAGAGTGCCGTGGCTACATATGAAGGCTGTCCGAAGCCGGTGTGCTGAGCATTTAGACATGTGTCCAATATGCGCCAACTGTTGCTGGTGCCAACTTCTGAGACGATATCAGTCGCCCACCCAATGTCAACAGGACAAACTATGAAGCTCTGCTACATTTCGACGTCTAGCTCTATCAAATTCAGACGGACTGACGAACTGAGCTAGCACTCTTTGGGAGCTCTACTATGCATACAACTAGGGGAGGTTTTGCCCAAAACGGTCCGGACTAATAACTATACTGTTGGCTCTAAGTACAAATCAGCTAGGATTTGTGTGTAAAAGCTCTAACTAGATAGCTATTCTGTAGGGATGCGAATTGTTTTGTATCTACCGTGCGCATGCTCGTGGAGGACCCGTTGCGTGGCTGGCAGCCGTGGAGTCTCAGCCACTGAGGGGCCGGTATGGGGGCGGCGGGCGGGGGCGGTGTCCCTCCGAGGTCACCGACAGGGGCCGGTGTCCCGCAGAGGTCACCGACAGGGGCCGATGTCCCGCAGAGGTCACTGGGGTCACCGGCAGGGACCGGTGTCCCGCAGAGGTCACCGGGGTCACCGACAGGGGACGGAGGAGGGAGCCACTGCCGGCCCGGCGCGCCGGCCGCCCATGTATGAAGCGCGGTGACGGCGGCGGCCGCGCCGGCCGGGGAAGGACGAGGACGGTGGTCAGGGCAGGAGCCGACACTGACCCAGCCGCGGGTCACATTTCGCGGCCGGTCAGCGGGTCAAGGGTCGCTACCAGTCCAGATGAAAATGACCGGAAATTGAACACGTTCGTGGATAGCTTAGCATCTTGTTTTTGATGGGAAAAGCAATAAACCAATATTTTTACAAAAGCTTTACATTATTTTGGCAGAAGCAACAGGTACTGTCATTGGAAAAAGGGTTCCAATAGGGAATTAGTCGGCAATGTGCTGTCATTTTCATCTTCAGCTACTGCGCCAACTATACGCCAGCGGGCGCCTCTAGTAAGCGGTGCGAAGCGGCCGGAGAGGTTGGGTGCGGTCGGGCAGGTCGGGGGTCGGGTCATCACACGCCACTTCATACATGCGCGCCGGACTCGGGGGGCCGACAGCTAGCTGGTGTCTAACGGTGTGTCTATAGCGGTGTCGAGCGCGGCGCACACTGACCTCCACACCGAGTCGCAGCACCTCGTGCTCCAGGTCCCACTTTTGAGACTCGCACAGGTACACACGGTCATGATAGTCCTTGCATATGGCTATAAGATCGTCTAAAAAGGCGGAAAGGGGTGTTAAATGCCGTCCACTCAAAGTTTCTGAGCGGTGCGCTCGCCGCTCAGTGTGTGAGATTTTGTAAACTTGACTTTGGGTTTTCCATCCTCCGTCCCTTCGTGAATTGGTTATCGAATCTACAGTTAGGCCTTTGTTAACCGTTAATATTATAAGTATTATACGGAACTGTTCCGTGGCGTTTTTGATAGACATGTGTTAGTAAATTTACCTGATAGTCTTTCATTTTCACCCAAAACTCGGCGTCGTACTTATCAGTTTCGACACGTGTAATGTGCTGGTGATACTCATAACAAATGGTCTGTAGCTCCGCTGAACGAGAAAGGAGAGAGGGGGAGAGAGCAGACCATTAGCTGAGACACAGCGGCGCCCAGGGATGACGGAGCGCCGCAGCCGGGTTAGACAAGCCAAACTCGCCCAAATGATGAGATGGGGCTATATACATTGGTTGGAGATTTCCACTGGCGTCCAACTGGCGTCCAACTGAGCAGACGTCCAAGTTGACGTCTAACTTGTCGTCTAACTGTTGGACGGAGACTTCCAAGCTAGACGCGTCTAAATTTAGCCGTCGCCAAATAGATGCAGCCGCCGTCCAGCTAGACGCGTCTAAGACTTAGACGCGTTTAGCTAGACGCGAAATGGAAGTCTCCACCCATTGTGAAACAACACAAGACAGACGTTTCGTTTCGATTTAGAAAGACCGTAGAATCAAAGTTAATGGAAGAAATAAGTATGAAACGTCAAAGATCTTTTAATATTCTTAAACACAACCAACGTAAAGACCGAACATTTTACCTCTTCATCCGTTAGCAGTTGAGAAGGCCTTTGCGAGTTGGCCACCGTGCCGTTAAACATCTACCGTCTACTGGGGCCGGTTAGTGGGGGAGACAAACCTGGTGATCCTTCTCCGCCACCTCCTGCTCGAGATCCCACTTCTTGCTCTCGAGCGCCTCGATACGCTGCTGGTACGCCTGGCACACCTGGGTGACCACAGCTACCGACCGAACAGGACACGTGCAGCGCCACGTCAGAGGGGCACGACACGGCGGGGCGGGCGGACCAGGCAGGGGCTACGGCGGGACACGATTGGGAGGCGGGGGGGGGGGGGGCAGAGAGATCAGGCGCAGAGAACAGCGGACCGTGTTAAAAAAGTTTTGAGTACGCGTTTTAAGTTAAGAAGTTCTAGGATACGCTCCGCTTGTGATTGGCCTCGCTCTCTAGTCTCTCTGCACCCAATCTCTCTGCCTCTAATGTGCTCTCTACAAAATGTACCCAATCTGGCAACTACATTCGCTAAAATGGATTCTGCGGTCATTCGACTATATAGATTTCAGCTAGAGATCGTCTATGATAGGTTTACAAGTTCTGAGTCAATATTTACAACGCTACCTACTCGAAATTCGAGCTTATACTACTCCGGGTTGAAGTCAGCTCAAGTCTACTTGGTTCATGCCAGCTACTGTGATTGTAATGTAGGACATCATGGAATAATCAGTCTTCATGGTTTTTAATAGCATGACGTTCAGTGCAGCTTTATTCCTGCTCATTCCTCGCATTGAAGTTGTATTTTCCGTTAAAATTACACCTTCAGTTTAACCTGCAACCAAATCGGTCATGCAGTGGAACGCAATTGGTTTAGCAGTGTTACAGTTTCTTGCTAAAAATTGAACGGTCTGGATTGCTGCGTTGGATTCCAATTAACCCGCGCCCCGTAGGGGGGGGGGGCCGAAACGGCCCCCCCCTGTCCTTTTCGGTCGATATCTCCTAAACGGCTGGAGATATCGCCACCAAACTTTCAGGACCCCTCTGGGCATCAATTTTACACATTGTGACCAAAAATTTTCCAGAGGCTATGATAGGTTGGCCACAAATGACGTCAGAGTGACGTCATGTTCTGTCATTTTCGACCGAAAAAAGACCTTCGCGAGAAGACCTGTCAGGACTACAGCTTTGAAGATACAGAAAAATGATCAAGACATAAAAGGTGTAGAATTGACAGGGCTACAAAACTGCTATCTCGAATTTTTGAAATTTTTGAGTTTTGACCCCCAAAAATCAAAAAAGCATTTTTTTGGATATATTCGCCAAAAAATCCAAAAAGTTTTTTGAGTTTCGAAAAAAAACGGAATATATGTGATAGTGCCTACCGTCTTCTATCTACATACCAAATTTCAGATCGATGCCTCGTTTTTTGGCCAAGTTATAGCGAAAAAACTGTTCAAAAATGATGACGTCAAATTTTCAAACTCAAATTTTGGCAATTCTAGAACTCGTAGAGCAAAACGAAGACCACCATTAGACTCCCCGTGACGAGCTGCATCGAATCGATACCCATTTTATGCAAAAATATCAACTTTGAAATTTGACATAATTTGACCTGACCTTGACCTGACCTTCACAAAAACGTGACCTAGGCTGGCCCCAAAGGCTGCCTAACCCACATAATCGCATTTGTCATGTAAAATGGACCATAAAACATGTATCACACGACACATTCATATTGTGACCCCCGGTGACCTGACCTCGCTGTGACCTGACCTGGTATCAGTGACCTCAGATAGCAAAGTATGTGTTTGACGAACAATTTACCATCGATGGTTTTCAATAAATTACCAATTTACTCGCTTTCACAGCACATTTCTTGAATTGCCTGTGAACGGTGAAAATCTGACCTTTGACCTGACCTGTGACGTCATCGGTTTGACCTAGGTCAATGAAATTTGGTCACAAGGTAGTTCCCGGGTGGGGCTAACGCCGTTTGAATTTTGAAAATCGGCCGGTAACTTTCCGAGATCTTAGGGGGGGGGGCCGAAACGGCCCCCCCCCCCCCTACGGGTGGTAGGGTCCGCCGGTAGCCCTACGGGGCGCGGGTTAAGATATTAGATAAGCTCATACATATTTGCAGCATTCAACTCATAGATGCTTGAACTACATGTAGCTGACTGCAGTCAAATCAAACCTTTTTAAAGCAGAGTGCAAAGTGCACGTTTGGGACAGAGAAGAACTGCATGACCTTTCTGAGAGAGCGGTATTTCGTGCTAATAGGTACTGGGTAGGTGCTGATGCCTGGCCCACTAAGGGCGGCCGGTACCTACCTTCATTGGCGTCGTCCAGGTTCTTTTTCTGGCCGCACCTCTCGATGATGATGCGCCGCCGCTCCTCGGCCTTGATCTCCTGTTCCTTTTTCAGCTCCTCAGCAGCCTTTTTCCTCAGAAGTAGCTAGAACCGGCGGGGAGCGGTCGGGTCTCTGCACAGGGTCGGCCGCCCACACCGGCGGCTCGCGAGACATAACACATATGCATTGAAATCAATGTGACTTCACCTAATGCTTCATTGACTGCTGAAATGCCATGCTATTCTTAGCTTTTACCGATAATACTAAATTTCACTATGTATCCAGACTACGAATGACGCCTCTACCGTTTCTACAAAGCCAAGCCTCTGTTGGTCTGTAGCCTATTGTACAAAGTGTTCTAGTCTATCTGTAGTATTTTGATCGTATACACACCGATATTAGCCCTCGCCGTAAGAGGGTTGTTTCTCACCTTTGCAGGAAAGGTGGCTTACGATGTATTGTACTTCAAAACATATTTTCACTGTCATAAGAAGATAATGTTTACGAGCTAAATCTTGCAATGCACGAATACATATGTAAGAAGATTGAAAGAAATGTGTGATAAGGAACTGGATTGGCCAGACGTGAAATGTAAATTAAACATCCCCTAAGTATTAAGCCTCTGAAAGCAGTCTGCATTTTAGAGATCGAATAGCACGCTATGCCGAGGCAAATATGAAATTGTATTTAATGCTGCAAAGACGATGATAGTTAGAAGCCATTCTGAAGTTTCCGGAATTTCACTGGATTGCAATGGGGATTTTAGCATGAAACTGTGGACAGAATTTTTGGGAAAGTTGTACAAATAAGCTTTGTTTTTGTCGCAGCTTTTTCAGAGCCCATTTATACGGCGAGAGGTAATATTTCCGGCCATGTTTATAAAATGCAAACGGCTAAAGCTAAATAAAAGTAAGATCAGTTAGAAAAATTAAAATATAATGAATAGATTGTTCGGTGGAATATCCTACCCGCAGTTTCTTCTTTCTCTCCGGTGTCATGAACCCCTTCTTGGCCTTCTTGCCGGCGGCGGTCTCCTCCAGGCGTTTGCGGACCTCGGCCTTCTTTCGGTCGACCTCTGCCCGCTTCTGTTTCTCGGCCTATACAGTCCCGACGGGCGGTGTCAGCGGTACAGGTCCCCGGGCGGCCGGCCGGGTCGGCGGGCAGGTGCGACACGTCCTCTGCTCGGTGACTTTTCCCCTAGCGTGTTTTTTTTTGTTTTTTTTTTTGCCGAATTTTCCATTAGGTTCGTTATCTTATGTTGTAATTTATCAAATACAGCCTGAATTTTGGTTTGTTCTCTTTTAATATGCATTCCAAGATGACCATTTTATCATAAAAGCAAATGGAATGGATTCAAGTTAAATGACATTTGCATGTGAGAGCTTGCCAGATGGGCTCGTTTTTGTATTTTTGAACAATCGAAAAGGTGTCAATATGTGATGTTTAATCATCAAGACACGCACCGGTTCTGTACAGTGTCCCTTAACATGCCTGACTAAACCTAGCATACACGGAACAACGTTGTAAACGTTTTTGTTAGTCACGAGGGTTGGGGCTAACTACTCAATACGCATACAATCAACTGTCTGAGCCATATAAGGAATGTGAACCCGAGGAGTGTCGACATTTCTCAATGGCTGCCACTGCTACAAAAATAATGCATCTCAGTTTATCATGCATTTCTAACTAGATACGTTCTTCTATTTATATGGCTATTTACCACACAAATAATCATGATGCTGAAATACTATATTTGTATCAAAATAGAACCCGAAAGAATGGTAAATCGTCTAGTTGATTTTTTAAAGCAAAATTTTACGTATCTGCCTAACATTTGTGACAGCAATTACACATTTGCATGCATCGATATTCGATAGCTTTTAAGGAGATATAACAAAATGAAAGATGAGTATAGCAAAGTGCTATCCTTTATCCGCTATCATTTATCAACAACGTTGCAATAATGGTAACAGAGCATTAACGAAAGAGAATATCGAAGGAGGGCATATCTTTAAACACTTATTCACTGTAAGCAATGACTATACTTTCATAGAAATAATCAGCAGGCACCAACCGAATGGGGGAAATAACACCTCACAACTGGGGTGACACGTTACTTCTCGAGGCAAGGCATGGAGCTGTCGCACATCTTCTATGGGATGCTATATACAACACGAGGGTGACACACTACGTTCCATACTACTGGGGATCTATGTATGTTAATTCTGGGAACGCTAAAACAGACATTCCTTGCCCCATACCTGAACTGGAATCTGGATGCTAGAAATATTTTGAGAAAATAGTTTAGTTAAAAAGTCATCAATGATAATGCACAGCTTAACTTCCATAGGAAAAAGTACAGAAAGTATATGCTTCACAACGACCATATTTCAACTTAATGATGTTTTGCTATGCTAGAAAATAATTTGCAGAAGATGGTAAAAACACGTTTTAATTTGCAGAAATTTGCGGTAATTTGCAAAAGACGGTAGCATTTACCTAGAAGAGTTGCATGATATAAAACATGGCGAAATGAACTTTGGGAAATGCCGCCTTTTTTAAACGCCAACTGTATCTAGCCTATGAACTGTTCGCAGACAGAAACGCCATTTTTCCTGATTGGTAATAAATTTGACTGGCTGTATTTTATAGACCAATAAAATAATTTTGTCTGGACCAGATGGATTCCGCGTCAGTGGGCTTTGTTAGTGGGAGTTCACACCACACTTACTGCCTGTAAGCGCCTACGTGCCTCAGCTGCCCTCTGGGCCTGCAACGGCACAGTCGGACGGTGTCAGACGGGACCTTTGCCGGGCCCGCTCGGACGGCACACCAAGCGACCAGCACGGCGCGCTCTACATACGGCCACAGCCGGGCGGGCGGCGGCCCTGCGGCGCGCCCAGCTGACTAGAACTGCACGCGGGGCGCGGGACGACACTCGGAACAGCAGCGCGGCACGCGGACACCGGTCACGTCTCGGAACGGGACGCGTCTCGTTGTCCCGTCTGTCTACCGCCAGTTGAACGGAACGATCTATCGATGAAGCCTGATACGATTCGAAATGGCCGGGCTGCCACCCGCTACGGACCAGAGTTAGACTGTAGAGTTTAATGTGGAAATGGAGGAGTCTAGTAGACATCTGAGCGTGTTTGAACTTATGTGTTGGAAGATAATAACCACATTCGCATGAGACATTAGTGGCATGAGTGATGAGTCAATATTTGAAATAACAGCTACGCAAGGAGCTTTCCTATTAGCGAGCTCAAATTTTAGTGCATTTCTTCACCGATGAACGAGAGCATAATAATATGACCAATAAATAAGAAGCAATCCAAAGTGTACTGTTTGAGTTGTCAAACTGAAAGCCCGGCAGTGATAGATGTTAGACGATAGATATCGGCGTTACGGCTACTATGGGATGTTCGTGTCACTGGTCTGTGAGTGGCAGCCCGTCGACTACAGAGCACGGGGCGCGCGGGGCCGCTCAGCGGCGGGCGGCACGTGACGTTTACCTGCTCCTCGTCCTCCTCCTCGGACTCCTCCTCCGAGCTGCAAGTCGGCATAACAGGCGGCGTTAGCAACGCGGCATAACGGCATAACGGGCGGAGTTAGTAACGCGGCATCACAGCATAACGGGCGGCGTTAGCGTGTCGGCATAACGGGCGGCGGGCGGCGTCCAGCGCTTCCATACACAGAGACGCAGAGAGATGGGGGGGGGGGGGGGAAGCAGACCAGTGACACCCATCGGCATTAAATCGTGATATTATGGATGGAGAAAAAAGTGGACCATGGATGGAGAAAAAAGTGGACCATGTCAACCTCATCAACCGGGACCTTTAGAAAAAAAGAATTTCAAATTGTAGGGGCTTTCAAGCAACGTAAAATATTATGAAGTATGGTCCACTCTTGTCGCTACAAACACGGCGTACAAATCATGGCATTATGATTGTGATAGATGCATATCATAATGCACATAGCCGCAGGTGCTGTTGGGTTGAGTTGTAATGCTTCATGTACTAGGTAGGCAAAAGTTGCATCTTTATGTAGGTATGTATGTACCTACTGTTCATTATTACATTGTTTTAGTTTTTTTACACATTTCCTCAAGTCTCAACGATGCGGCTACGCACATATATATTATTCCATCACATTTCAGCACAAATAACAGGCACCCCCTCTCAAGCCCCCAGTCCCCGCGCGAACGCCGTTTGCGAGCTGTTAGGCTGTGCCGCCTCACAGATGTGTAAGGCGGCACAGTATGACGAGACGCGTCAGGCGGCAGCGCGGCACAGGCTGTGAATCGGTTATGGCGGCTAAGCGGGGAGTAAGTCAGCCAGGCAGGCGGCAGTGCTGTGAAAGTACGCGGCGGTGAGCCACGCGGCCTACCTCGTCCACCTCCTCCTCCGAGCTGCTGGGGGAGGGCAGACGGTCAGGCCGGGTACGGTGCAGATAAACTGACGGCAGTCGTCCGGCAATCCATTTCTGATTTCACACGGTGCGGCGGGGAAGAGGAGATAACGCAGGATTCTAAGGTGTTAGATAGAAGTACCTAATAGTGTGCTGCCCAGCGCCCGTATGTGTGGTATTATGGTGAAGGAAGTATAGTCATACGTAGTTGCAGTTATGTATTTGTTAGCACTTCAGAACAAGAAGGTGCTTTGCTTTCGGTGCAGCCCGAGTAATTCCCAAGTCGGAATGAAGTGCGGAGATGAAAGCGTGAACATGAACTTATAAGTGAACATATAGCTCAGGTTTTTCCGGTGCTCTGGGTAGATTTTCGATTGATTGCTCTACCTGTCTACAGTCTCCACTTTGAGGGCAGTCACCGAGTGATCCTCGTCCTGTAACGTTCACACCAACGCAGTCAGGAATGATGAGGCAACGTTAACTGGAGCATTAAAGGAAAAGGGCCACCTTTAACATGGGGATTGAAACTGAGATAGCCATCTTGTAGCCCGTGTCCGAAAACCTATCTGTCTACCTCCTTACGGCCGATTTCGGCCTCCATTCGTAGTTATCGGCAATTTTAAAAGAAAATACGCCAGGAATGCGTCCTTATCCCAGGAATGCGTTCTTATCCGACAATACAGCCACCCGCGGCGAGGCTTTGGTTTTTTACCAATCAGCTCCAACCAGCTCAGCTTTAACCAATCAGCTTATCTGACACAATCCGACGAGTCTGTCTTCTGAACGCTGATTGGCTTGAGTGTGACGTCATCGCTATGCCATCATACAGTAGGTGCCGTAGAGAGTATCAACATTCAACATAGTACCAATATGTTAAATAGTTTTAAATACTTTTTCGCGAATTGTGCACTTCTGGCACCAGTTTTAAAAAGAAAATGAAAAATAATAATGTCAAAATGGAAAACAACGATATCTTCATAGTTCACGAAGGTGGCCCTTTTCCTTTAAAAATGGCTGTCAAGGAAGGTGAACGAAATTGGAATAAAAATGGCACATTTTTAAATAACATTTTTGCAATAGTGAGCGTGAGAGGGTGATTGCGCTCGAGACCTATTGAGCTCGTCTTCTTAGCATCACTCACAGTTTATGAGTTAAAAAGTAAAACTATAAAACGCAGGTTCATTAAAGATACCTATAGTCTTCATGGTTAGAAATCGGTTGGTGTGCTTGCGCATGCACTTGTGCGTTTTCATGAGTGCTAAATAAATAATTTTAGTGGGTGGGTGTGCCGGGGGTGAGCTCGCTGTGATTGTGCAATGTGCAGCTATTTGCAGATTGTGTGGTCATTCGCAAAACCCCATTCTACTCATGCCTATAGTTCTTCGGCTATTCGCACATGCGTGCTTTTCTGGCTGCTGCTGCTACCGTGGTCTGGCAGTGTTGCAATGCCGTGCGATACTGGTCTCGCTCTGTGCCGCTCAGGTGGGGTGTTGTATTATGACATTGAGCGCCACCTCTAATCGCTTCTGTGCTCCCTGGTGCCGGTGAAGCAGGGGTGCTGGGCTTTGACGTCCGCCGTCAGTTCTGACAGCGCCGGCTCATTGATGTGGCAGCGAGTGACGGCTGCAGCTGCCAGCTGTTGCTCTCTCCTCGGGTGGTGTTTGGTGCAGTGTGAGCCTCGTCCGCCGGCCGTGCTGTGTGCGTGCAGGAGGTGCGCTCGCGGGCGGTGCGTGCGCCATGCTCTGTGCGCAGTGCTGCCCACCGTCGGCGCCGGCAGCTCGGCTGCGGAGGCGGACCGGCCGCTATTTCTGTCTGTGTCGGTCGGCCCGGCGGCGGCGGAGCATTCCTGGGCGCCGGAGCGGCCCCATTCCTGGCCAGCCGACCCCCTGGGGCCGACACGGAGCGGGGTCGGTGGCGGCGCGCGGCCGCCGCGCGACACACTGACACAGCCCGGCCGGTGCCGCGGCGCGCAGACCCACCGGGGGACGCGACATCCGGCCGGCGGCGGTCCGACGCACCCACGGCGGAACACAGCCAGAGCCCACCCCGGGGAGGGACCGTAACCCGCGCCACGGACCGCGCTGGGACGGCGCCAACACTGACCTGCGACCACTGTCCGTCCCGCTGAACAGCAACTATAGGCACTCTTGTAACTTAGCCACACAGCAACATCTCGAATTTAACTTGGAATTAAACTACGCTATATCAGCAGCATTTAGTTAGGCGTTACGGCGGTATCTATTAAAATTATTTGCTTGTGCTTGTTTGTTTCAAAAGGTTGTGGTGATAGTGTTCGAATAAAGATGAAAAGTGGGTGCAAATGTATCGTGTGATTGAAGTGATTTGGCTTCTTATACTTCTTATATGCTTAAAAAAGAGAGCACAGTGCTGGTAACTAGAAGCGTGTAAGACTCAAAAGCCTTTTTAGAGCAGTGAATTAGGATTGGAAGTTTGATGGTGCGATATGCCGGCTATTTATCCTGTGCGCTGAGGGTCATTCCGTTGGCATTGCTGTGGCGCGCGCGCTGGGTGCCAGTGCGTCCTACTGCTGAAGGAGGGCCGCTTTCTGCAGGGCCCGCTCCCTCCTGCGTCGCGCGATCCGTTCCACCAGGTCGTCGTCGGACAGCTCCTCGAGGTTCAGTCGGTACCGGCTGCGCGCCGTCTGCTGTCTGGCCGTGTGGCGTGGGCGATTGGTCAGCGGAGGGACGTGTATACCGTGGGTGTCTGGTCAGCGGAGGGACGTGTATACCGTGGGTGACTGGCCAGTGGAGGGCCGTGTCGTGAGTGACTGGTCAGCGGAGGGACGTGTCGTGGGCGACTGGTCAGCGGAGGGACGTGTATACCGTGGGTGTCTGGTCAGCGGAGGGACGTGTATACCGTGGGTGTCTGGTCAGCGGAGGGACGTGTAATGTGTATACCGTGGGTGACTGGTCAGCGGAGGGTCGTACCGTGAGTGACTGGTGGAGGGGTGTATTGTGGGTGACCGGTCACCGGAGGGCTGTGTTGTGCAACTGGTATCTTTAGCTTGTGGAAGGCTTGAATGGCAGTGCCCTCGCCGCTTGATCTTTGAGAAGCCGTGATGTTTGCGTGCTGTTTTACGATAAATCGGGAATTTGTAGGAAAAGGAAGGGGAGACAGAACAATTCTCATATAACTTGATGTTTAGGGCAAACTAACAAATCAACATTATCTATTTGTAACAGTGGATGCCAACACTTAGCAGCACCCTATAGGAAACTCAAACCAGTATCCTACGGTGAAGATCAGCAGAATCCTACAGGGGAGTAGGAGCCAAATAGCACGTCTCCTGCAGAGCTGCCTGGTGATCACAGAGCAGCAACTCACCTGTATTCCTCGCTGTCGGACATTTTGGCGTCTGTTTAGGGGGACGAGACCTGAAACAAAGTATAACTCATGTCAGCGACATATCACTGGTCTGCGCACCATCAACGATAGCATAACATGTATGTACAATATTACCTAACAGTGATAACAAAGTGCGCTAGTTGGTATTGTTTCTGTGGTTTCCGTTGCCGGCCGGAAGTGTTGCGGTTCCGGTTGCGGCGCCGCCGGCTGTCACCGCTGTGACGTCACTGTCGTCATCGGGTCGTGTTTTCCAGCTGTGGTTATTGGCGGTGGTTTTTGGCCTGGAGCGCTGGCACGGAGGCGGCGTTGGCCGGTGCGCGCCTCCCACGCGCCGTAGTGGGCTCGGCTCCAGGACTGTCCGGAGCCGGCGCACACTGGTCGGAAACGCTCCAGTGAGAGGCCAGCGGCCTTTCCGCAAAAGTTTTTTGCTTGTTATTCCACAACTAGTGAAGCAAATTTCATAAAACTTTGCATACCTTTTCTGTCATATGTAAGCTATCATTTGGATGTCAAGCACTAAATATATGACGTGAATCTGTTAAGTTATGACGTCATAATTGAGTATAATACAGGATCTAGCACCACTTTAAGTCAACAAGGGAAATTGGGAGCTGTTATTCGGGCACCGGGAATGGTTTCATGCACTCCTTGCAAGGTCCAGTGCTTCACTTTAGCATTGTTGACTTTGCGTGACGTCATTTATGACGTCATTAAGGTCATATAAGTTTTTCGTCAATAACTCCTGATCAGATGGAGCTAGAGAGTCGGGAAAGCCACCATTGGACTCAGGAAGACCTGCCGAATCGAATGATATGCGATATGACCTCCTTCAACCATTTTCGTGACCTGAGGGGCTCCGACCTGACCTTGACCCGAGGTTAACACCTTAAGTTGACTTCACCCGAACACCAAGCATAGCATTCAACGCGCCTGAGCTAGACAAACACGATGATGCCAAAATCGCGGCAGTGCGGCCATTTTTGGCAAAGTAATTAACCTAAAACCGAGCCCGTGCCAGACGTGCCTTGTGGCACTTACCTGACCTAAGAGGTCACTGGCTGACCTATAAAGACCTTAAAATCGGGTAGTACCTAATTGTTGCGTCTTATAACGGCACACAAGCTCTTTTTTCCGCGAGGCTCTAGCTCAATTGGAGGCGAAACGGCGAGGGAGTTGTACCAACCCTCCCCGGTCAATATAGAAAACCAATCGGTCCGGCCAGGGTTAAATACCGGAATTGTGATCTAATGCAAAAAGACGGCCCAAGGTAACCCGACGTCAGTGACAGGTGTCCTATATTTGCAGCGTCTTATATTCACGAAGGTTTCAATTTCCACTTTCTTCAGCCGAGTGATGGTTGTCAATAGCAAGGCTCTCTAAATGCAAGCCGTAATCGCCACGCAATATGTGGAAGGCTTTTGATGTCAATACATACATAAATACATACATAAAACGCGCTTTTCACAAAATTCATAAACTCAAACGCATCTGTTTTTAATGACCAGTCAACTACGCATGGATGCGTGCAGGCCACACAGGTCAGCGTAAGCCGGGTGCGGCGGCCGAGCCGAAACCATGGGGCGGGGCGGGCGGTAGTTGGGTAGGAAGAGCGGCTCCTGCAAATTTTGCGCAAATATGCGCAGTTAGCTTTTATGTTGCCCTGGTGTAAATTTAAATCCAGCTTCATCTCACAAAAAATCAGAGTGGAACTAGATGGGACTACCTGTTGTTTCCTTACCTAAACTTTACAGTTATATTCCAGAATCACTGTAGGAGAGCCTTCATAAAAAGCTACAGTAAATCTTAGTTAGGGAAAAAGTATACAAAAAATTTTGCACTGACCAGTCGGCAACTTCATAAGGAACATTTTGATGCATAATATGTGGGAATTCAATTTGGTGTCTATCAGCAATAAGACTCTGAATATCCGGCTCAAGAAACCTCTTGCTCCGCGTCAGTTTCCGAGTTCTGGGATACCCCATCTTCGGGGGCTGATTACAGCTATTTTTGGCCACCCGGATTAGTTTTTTTGGCCGAAGTATAATAATTTGATCAATTTCAAATCGATCTATATAAAAAATAATCCGAAACTCCGGAATCGCCCGTGGCCTCTCGTGAGGGCGTTTCCGACCAGTGTGCGGCGGTCCGATCCTCCCGCGCGGCGGGCCGTCCAGGGGCCCCCGACCCCGCCCCGCCCCGCTCCAGATGTCAACAAACCGCCGGCTCACCGTCCAGGCACGGACCCAGTGACGCTAGCCGCCGGAGGTGTGTAATGTGATGAGTAATCGGCCTTGACAGTGGCTTATTGTGCATTTCTTCACAATATTTCAAGCATTTGGTTTTCAACCGTTTTGAAAAACAACTTATCTTTAAGGAAGTATCGGCTTAAATATTTACAGGTGAACTGTTAGGTCATATGGAATGACGGCCACCGTTCTGAAGCCGATTTTCCGGGCAATAAATCGCGCGGTATCTGATGCTGAAGTCATTTGATACGCTCGCGGCTTAGGAGGTTTGCTGGCCGCACTCGGATCACGGTAGTAGGCGTTTACCTGACCTTTGACCGGTGATCATGAGCCAATAGTTACAGAGTGATTCAGCTGTGTATTTCTCGTGCGAAGATCAATTTTCAATCCTAAACTTAGATTAGGTGAACTTTGGTCCAATATAAACATTTGATGTAGACATATTAAATAGTTGAATAGTTATTGCCAATGGCATTCCGCATTAATGAGTTATTCTTCAGCTTAAGTGCAATTGAATTTGATGACTGCTTTTGTGCGTTCACATGTGTCAGTAGGCGTTGAATACAGATATGTTATGTTACATGTTACAAAAAAAAATGTACAAATAAATGGCATTAAAACCAATTTGAAATAATTTGTCCTGAAACCTTTTCTACCAAACTGCCACCAACCTGGTTTAGTTTTAAGACATTTCTACAATTTTACGCATTGTTGGCGGACGTGTCGTGGACTATGACACTTCGTTAGTATACTCGTACCGTATACATACTCGGACACTCATACAACAAGCAAACTCAGACACTTTCACCATTAGATCTAACGGTATGGGAATATAAGATATTGGACCGATTCTCAACGCTCATGCCATTCAATCTGCAGCGGAAAGTGTCCGTTTAGGAGAAAATTGCGTGGGTGTGGACAGTCTCCGCAGTGGCATTGGCAGGTCAGCGGAGCCCCGAGGCCGTGTAACGCTAGATCAGTGGGCCGCGCCATATTGGGGCATGTGACGTGGCGTCTGGCGAGGTGCCAGTGCCGACAGCTCGCTTTGCCGCCCAGCCGAGCCGCCCGCTGCGGGCAAACAACGGGCGGGCGGGCCGCGCTCAGAGCCAGAGACCCTCCGCCAGAGAGGTCCTATACCGCGGAGCTGTAAATTTGGAAAAAATGACTCATTGATAAAGATTTAACTAATGTGACCGGCCTCATTTGATTGAAGGGATGAAATGTGACCGCTTCGGTGGTTCTTATCGTGCACCTGCAGTTTTATTTAGTCTCCGCATATAGCCATATAGCAACGGCTTTTCATTACGGTGTTTGGTCATTTGTATAAAATCCGACTATTAGTTGCTGGAAGACGACACTAAACCGTCTGTAGCGAGTCCAATGCACCCAACGTTTCATCTTTTCCGTTTGTCAGGGCTGTAAGGTCCTTCTCCTTCACGCCTCAAACCCCCTTGCTCAGAGCTGAGCGGTCACCTCGCGAGTGGCTCTTTAGGGGCATGCCCAAGTGCGACGGGATGACCATTAGCGGGACATGGTGTCCTGTCCATCGAGACGGGCTTCAGCCCCGACGGATTACCAGGGTGGCCGCCGAGACCAATGTCTCCCCTAATTCCTACCACTCTTCCGGCTCTAAATAGGTTTTGTCGGTCCGAAAAGGCATTAGGTAATCCTACGGAAAACAATTGTACCTTCAGAGTATTTTTGTTAAGCATTGTTTTATTTTTTTAAACTATCCAGCAAATAAACTTTATTCTAGTAGGTACACGAAATAGTTTGTGCCTCGAAAATAAGAAAGGCCGAAAGGATAAGCTAGTTAAGTACCGACCTTTTTATTTTACTGTTGCAGTGATTTTTGTATTGAAAGAAGTTGCAACATTCCGTTTGATACGCTCTTCATTTTAACTTGCTTTTCACAATTTTTGAACCACCACAAAAATAATATCGTAATACAATGCGGTAAACACCAAGCATCCTGTGTCTTCCCAAGGATGCCCGCAGCGCACTTGCGCACTTCATTGAGTGAAAAGACGTGCAATATGCATGCATCTGTTAATCGGCAAATATTGTTTTTGGTGAAAGTTGTTTATAAATTATAGTGATCAATGATTCGTTGTTTTTACCTCGGAGTCTCAGCAAAACAAGATAAATAAATAAATTATGGACGGGTGCAGTGTTCCTTCACGGCAAATGACATGGACTTGAGACGTTACACTATCCCGCACTGACCGTGCTGGCATGTCGCAAATCGCACTCTGTGTTTTCCCGACACTTCGATGAGCCACACCAGGTCACCTCCAGCCCAGCCCGTCCCCTCTCAGAGTCACTCAGGGCCAGCAGCAGCGCCGGGCCACCGGCCAGTGCCCACCTACCTGACGATAAAAGGTGGGGAGAGCCGGAGAGCCGGGTAGCGCGCGGGAGCAGCCGAGCCACTGAGGCGGCGCCGCTCCGCCGCCGGCCGCCGCCGCCGCCCCGGGCCGGTGGCCAGGTCACGTGACCGACCGGCCGGCCGGCCGCCAAGCCGTCCGGCCGGCCCGCGCCGAGAAATGCGATAGCGATTTCGGAAACAGCAGCCGACCGGGCTGTGCTTTGTAGACGTGCAGCAGCACATTTTAGGCGGCTGGAATCCATATGCATGGTGCATTTTTTTATGTGCTCTACCGATACTATTATAAGCACAGCCCACCTGATATTTAGAAGCGTTTTCCTCTATGAGCACGCTCAACTAAGGCAAATAAATATGAACTCCTATATAATTGGTAACCAATTTCAATCATTCATTCGTGCTCCGAATAGAATTTACCAAGGATATGCTAGGGCGCCGTTTCCTTTGAATTGTTTGTTTGTTTTGTTGGGCTGGACTCTTCCGGTCTGACAAGACCATTGCAGAGGTGGAGGGATGCTAGGAATTAGGGGGGGGGAAGCATTGGTCTGGGCGGGCACCCTGGTGACCCGTCGGGACTGGACTGAGTCATTCATGAGAACAGACCACCCAGCCCCACCCCCCTCGACACTCACCGCACCCGGCAATGCATGCTCGTGGGGTGGAGCTACCCGCATGGGACAAAGTTGCCGTCCAGCCCGAAGCAGGGGATTGAGGCATGGAGGAGAAGGATTCGACTATCATGAGAATGGAAATGATGGAACGGAGGGTTTCTTCGTTTTCATCCTCAGCTAACGTTGAGTACCTAATGGTTTCGCGCTTTATTGGTTCATTTTCAATGATCTTCAAACAAATGTTTGAAACAAATATGCTTAGAGCCATTTGCAACCAACGGCGATTGGAAAGTTTCACTGTCTCATATCCTATATGCACAAAGATAATAGCGACATTTGCCTACACCTACACGTCGCATTATTTAGCTCTCATATACCTATATCAACACACGCCGCTTAGCCTTAGGTATAAAGGGAGGGTGGGAGTGGGTTTGTTTCGTCCAGATGTAGTTTGTGGGACTGGTGGGAGGGTGGACCAGGTGGACATACACCAAACATCACTGTAACAAGCGCCTATAGGTATGCCGCAATAATTCCGGTCAATTTCCAATGAAACAATTGTTTTCTTCCCATCACTTTCATCAAACCTCCTCAAGATAAAGCGTCCTTCACTCTACACGGCACAGGCCCTGCCGCCGCGCTGCTGCGCCGCCGGCCGCGCGGGTACTGCGGTGCAGTATATCTTCAGGCGTCTGACACCAGCGCCATCTATTGAGCGATTGACAAGTTGATGAGCTGATACGGCACAGCGGCGATGGGGTATAAATGCCGCTGGTGTAGGACGTAGCTACTAGGCATCATCGTTTGAACTGAATGATATGTGATACATTGTTCGTTGTTGTTGCTGTCTGTGCAGTTTTGAATGCACAATGTGTCTCCTTATTCCTTTTTATCGGACTTGAAATGACCAGCCCTGTGAAAGGTGCAAGACGCAATTAGGTACCTACAGATCCAATTTGCGTCGTCCATCCCTCTGGGCTCAGCCGCAATGAATGGCAGTTGTCGATAAATGTGTGCTTTCGCACGTTTCGGAAAAACTGCCTGAAACACAAGATAGATTTTGAATATTAGAAGACCTATTCTGTCGATCCTTTCAGCTATGTTGGTTTATCTGTTATCACATTGGACCGTACCTATTAGGTACAGGCCAATTTTTTGCACATCAACATATTTATTTTCTAAAATTTTCATTCTATCGAAAATCTGAAAGAAAAATTAGGTAGCTCGTTTTATCCCACGTTAATCCTCGTGTAGGAACCATTACCAATGTGATGCTGAAAATTATGTTCACTTCATAACAATGATTGGCGTAGAACCTTTTTTTGCATCGATATTGACCGAAAATGACGTCTTTCTGGCGTCCGGCCGGCCGACCAAGTTTTCCCATGGACACAAGGTGTTCAATTGCTGAAGCCAAGGCTACTGAAAGTTTCTCCTGAAAGTTATTGTACACGACAAATGAAAGAAGGCTCTGGCGAGCTATTGCCATATCAATATGGACTGGCTTTAACCCCTGGGACTAAGCCCGATATCTCACTATCACAATCACCAAACTCCCCACGATCTGGCGTCGCCGCTGCTCCTGCACGGTCGGTCGTCGGCCGTTGGTGCGCCGCGCGGTGACACAGCCCGCGGACGGGGTGGCTGCCAAGACGTCCTCAGTCGCCGTCCCCGTCCCGTCAGGTCAGACACCGGGGGCCGGGTCAGGGTCGCGTCTGGCCGTCAGCTGATCGGGGAGGGTGGGATCGCTCTTCACTTGTTAGGGGAGGATGGGATCGCGCGTGAGCTCGTGGCCAGAGGCCGGGTACTGGGTTCGTTCGCCAGGTGGTTATAGTGAGTAGTTAGGTTTTTTCGTCAGTTTAGCCTTAGGTATAAAGGGAGAGTGGGAGTGGGTTTGTTTCGTCCAGATGTAGTTGGTGGGACTGGTGGGAGGGTGGACCAGGTGAACACACACCAATGTTTTTTTTTGTTGTTGTTGTTGGGTTAGGCCCTTTTTGCATGATCGGAGTCACCGGTATTGTATTAGGTAGATCATCGGATAACGATGATCTTTCGGTCCAATGAGACCATTTCAGAGCCGGGAGGATGATAGGATATAGGGGGAGACATTGGTCTGGGCAGGCATCCTAGTGAGTCGCCGGGGCTGAGCCCGTCCAGAGGACAGGCCACCCAGCCCCAAGGCACTCACTGCACCCGGCTACGGGGTGCGCTCCCTCGGGAGCAGCGGTGCCGCTCCAAGGGAGCAGCCCGCATGAGATAAAGTTGCCTGTCCAGCCCGGAGGGGGTTGTGGCGTGGAGGAGAAGGATTTCAGTTTCCTGAGGATATAAGCACGGAACGGTGACCAATGGGGTCCGAGAGTGTAGGGTTTGTTCCCGTACTGGCGGTGGAAGACGGTACTGTCTGGCCCTGAACTGGTTGAGAGGGAGGGGCAGGGCAGCCTGTCAGCAGAATGAGAAGGGACGGCGGCCCGACTGTCAGAGGGTTGGTGATAAAAGTGAACTTCCCGGGAAGGGGTGGGGGGAGGGGAGCGGGTGCCGACGGAGGGCGGCGAAAAAGACGACCTTCGAGGGGACAGCGGCTTATTATAGCTGAACTTTCGATCGATCAGTTTTTATATTTAGTTACGACGTCCTAAATAAACGCACTCATGAAGGGCATTTTTGGCTTATTCGGTTCTTCATCAGACCCATCCGGATAGGAAAACTGTAATATCTGAGCGTTGGGTGGATTTTACAACTGATGGATCACCAAAATAACCATGCCTCCATCGTCACCACTGTCAGTGACTACTCTCGACTCCCGTCAGCGTATAACAAATCACGAGCGCTCGTGCAACTCAAGAGGACCAGTAGAGTATTGCCTGAATCATCCGGAAGATGACAGCTGTATTGGGCATGAAACTGCCGTCCCAATCTGAGGCGTAATGGCATACAATATGGCGCAATAACGATAATGATACAATGTAACGAACGCAACATGCAATACAATGTCGCGAACAAATGACGCAAAGAGTAAACACAACTGCCGACTAAACCAAACGGCCTGTCAATGATGGCACATCTCTGAGTTCGCCAAATCATGACAGCTGTAACTACCGGCAAAACAGCACATACACATTCCACCGATACATATCACACAGTCTGGCACACATTTCAATCACAGCACAAATTTTGGCACTTGGCCGACCGGTAATGGCACGGGTAGCGGCAGTATGAACCGTTAGTGTCACGCACGAACGGTTGGGACCTTATCCGATACAGCGGCACTCATTAATGACCCGCTTCTCGTCTCTGTGCTGTGTGTACCGGATGCGATATCCTGTGTTCACCGCGCGGGCCCTGCAGCAGTGTGGTAAACACTCAGCCGGACCTGAGGACCGGACTGCCAGCGGCGGCTGTTGGTATTGGCCGCCGGTGACCCGGCCCGCTCCGAATCCAAAACACCGCCCCCGCCCCGCGGCCAGTTAGAGGAAGCGCCGATCACAGGCTAGACTGACCGCCCCATCCATCGCTGTCGGAACGCCAAAACATCAACGGAACTCAGCCACTTAAAACTAACCGGCAGCATCCCACTTCTTAACTCACAGCCGGAATGTTTCCATTGGTCCCGACTCCCGGGTATTCATTTTGCAGTCAAATGTCACTTTATATGTTTCTGTGGACCAGACACACAGTCATCTGGCCTTTCCACGGAAGCTCGCCACTGAGCCACGGCCGCAGTTCCACCCCACCTCCCGGCTCCACCCCGCCTCAGTACATTCCGATGCTGTTGGCGGTGAACTGAACGTTGGCCTCCTGCTGGAGGGCCTCCTTGTCGCGCAGCCGGTACTGCAGCAGCGTGTGCTCCACCACGCCGATACGCACGTCCATGCCCTGCACCTCCTGTTTGACGCGGTTGAGCGCCTTCCGTATGTTGACCAGCGGCGTGCCGTCGGTCATGCTGGTGCCGCGCTCCTCGAGCTCCTGTTTGACCGACTCCAGCTCGTCGGTGAGCTGCGCCAGCTGCCGAGAGCGCTCCACCACGCCGCCGCTCACCGACTTGTACTGCTCCTGCGAGCTGGGAGACGGGGGTACGGGTCAGAGGGCACGAGACACATGTACTGAGGGAACAGGACACGAGACACATGTACTGGGTCCCATGCACAGGGCACGGAACAGGTGTTCTGTGGCGCGCAGCCCTTGTCGGGAGGTCACAGGGCACGGAGCAGATGAGTCAACGGACTGCGGGTCAAGGTTTCGTGTGAGTAGTTGACAGTTTATGTAACGGTATTTTTACGCCAAACATTATCAGAATCAGCGATAATTTATAATTGGGCGACTATGAATAAAATTATATTTGAATATTTCTTTATTTACTTATGAAAAAAGTCAATAGGAATTTACGAAATTTAAGGACACCAGAACGTTTTCAAAATTTTGAACTTGAAACGAAAATTGGACAGTTTATCGCTTTGTCTCGACATACCTGAGGCGATCCTCGATGAGTAGTTTGAAGTCACCGAGTGTGCGCTCCATCTGCGAGTTGAGGTACTTTTCCCTGTTGGTGATTTTGTCCAGCGTGCCGCTGACCTCTGTGTGCAGTTTGTCGAGCAACGCCTGCGTGTCGCTCAGCGAGTCGTCTATGGCGCGCCGGTACTGGTGCATCTGGTCCAGGTGGTTGCGCCAGTCGCGCGTGTCCGAGTCGATCTGGACGCGCAGCTGCGGCAACACACGCTCCATCTCCAGCCGCCACTCCTCCGTGTTGGTGGTCGACTCGAGAATCTCGTCCGGCTTCTGCACGTCCAGCTGCAGGTTCAGGCCCTGGATGGAGAGGTTCTTGAGGTCCTCCAGGTTGAGGACGGCGCCCTCCTCCTCCTCCTCCTCTGACGAGGAGGACTCCTCGGCCACCTTTTCGGTGGTGATCTCGGCCTCGTCCTCCTCCTCGTCCGCCTCGCCCGGCTGCGGCACCTGAGGCTTCTTCCACTGGAAGTTGCGCGCCGTCATGGCCAGGTCGGCCAGCCGGTCGGCCACGTAGATCACCTGCTCGCCGCAGCCCTGCTTCAGCTTGCTGGGCGGAAAGTCGACGTGCATCTCCAGCTGTCGGCAGTGCTCCAGGATGGTGGAGACGGTGACGTTCGGGTCGTCCGACTCCTGCGGCTGCTCCATGGAGCGGCCGATCTTGCGCAGCAGCCACGCCACCAGCGAGGTGAAAATGTAAAACTGCTCGCCCACATTGAACGAGAACACAAAGTAGTGCCGGTTTAGCGGCTTCATCTTGAGCGAGCGGCAAAAGTCGCGCTCGTAGTCGAGCAATTTGAGTTTGTCGGCGAGGTCGTCCATAACGACGTAGGCCATGTAGGCCATGCCGGGCCCGTCGTCGACCTCCTCGGTGCCCTGGACCATGACCGAGTAGCGGCGGTCCTCCTCGCGGCCCCTCTTGCGCGGGTCGTCGGGCGCCTCTTCACCGCCCTCCACCACCTCCTCATCACCGATGTCCTTGTTCTTGTGCTTCTTCTCCTTCTTGTGTTTGTGCTCTTTGCCTTCAGCATCTCCATCATCCTTCTTCTTTTTCTCCTTCTTCTCCTTTTTCTCTTTCTTTTCCTTCTTCTCTTTCTTCTTTTTCTCCTTTTTGTCGTCGCCCATGGTTACGGTTGTACGTTACACCTAGTTGAGAGGAGAGCTTTATGTCAACATCGTGGATGTAATTAATCATAGTGTGAAATCGCTTTAGTTAGGTACCGCATTTCGCATTCTGCGGGCCATTCGGCGAAAAAAATCGTATCATGTCAGTAGCTCAAGTAGACATTCGAGATAACGAAGACTCGACTGGCTATGGTAATATGAGACGGACTTATGGGCGTGCAATGCATCACATATCTTCTTTCATTGTATTGCGTGGGAATTATGCTGGTATTGCGAGATTGAATTTAAGATTTAACTCATGTGGGTAATCACTAATCAGTCTTTCCCGTCGTAATTATACGAGTGTCAGGCATGTGTGATTTCGCAACACGGGATCACCACGAACCAAACTGTTTGTCCAAAGACAAAGTTTAAGCGCGTGTCTGCACTCCTGAAATTCGTTCGTCCTAGAATAATGTCGATGAATGGCGCATTTCAGACGCACTAACAAAGTGTCGTCTGCTACATATAACTAATTCAATATTTTCGCAATGCATACCTATGTAAGAATTTGTTAAATAGCTCGGGAGCATTGTCCTTTGTCATAAAAACGGTTTAATTTAAAACACTTTTATTGTGAAACCGTATGAAAGAAAACCAAGTATGATATATAAGCTTGCAGCGACAGTTAGCGCTTCATGAAGCCGCCATCTGTCGAATGAGCTGCTCCACCGTCTCGACAAAGCCGGGAAACGAGGCGTCCATGATGTGCAGTCGGATGGCCTCCTCCATCTCCTCAGTGGACATGCTGGCCGCGGTGGCGGAGTAGGCCGCCGGCAGCTGGGACGTCTGCGGCTCCAGAACGGCCGCCGCCAGCTCCCCGAGAGCCACGTCTCCCCGCAGCACCACCACCTCTCCGCCCTCGTCACCGCCGCCGGCGGACTCCTTCCGCGCCACATCCAGCCGCCCGCCGTCCCTGACGCGGATCTTCTTCGAGATCTGGTAAACGCAGTCGGCCGCCTCTCTCCTGTGCACGAACTTCACCCGAAAGCGGCGAAACTGGTCGCCGATCCGCTGCAGGAAGAGCACGTGCTTGTCGCGGTAGACGGCACGGAAGGCCTGCTGGTCAGAGCTGATGCTGAGAGCCTCCAGCTCGCGCGAGCCGGCCGAGATGACCAGGAAGCCCACCTCCAGCAGGCTGAGCTTCAGCGGCTGCTGGCCGGCGGCCGTGCCGCAGTCGTCCCACGCCTCTGCCGACGTCAGCCGGGCGTACGTCGCCAGCCTGTACTCCCTCATGGTCGGCGAGAAGCGAGGTCTCGTGGCTGAAAATGGAGACGGAGCGTCGGTCACCGCCTGTCAGGTCGTCTTGCAGAGCCAGTGCTGCATGATATTCAGACGCACGTTATGGTGGTCACCAAGTTCCTGGGATTTATCTTGCTACCTAAAATGTTTTTGTACTTATGCACACCGCAGGAATGTACGGTTAACTTCGACTAAATGACGGTATGGTGCTTCACTGCGAGGCGGCGGACTTCTTGAAGACTGACACATTCGCGTGGTGTCATCTGAACGCAACCACACCCAATAAATCTTACGAAAAACGATTAAACTTATGCATTGTCGACCTTTCATGGCACAACTTTGGGCGATTCCATGAATCCCGAGGAATATATTGTCTGCAGGTATATCCCGTATATCCTCGACCCTCGTCACTGACGGGTGCAGAGCTCCTATCGCGAAACACCCACAAAATACGTCAAGATAACCGATGTAAATATAATGCCATTCGCGACGTCATGCTCATTGTTTGGCCGCAGTAGTTGGCGCTGAACTGCAATAGCCTCGCTGTTGAGGCTCCTCCAAGTTCTAAATTAAACCCTGACAAACGACCGAAATCGTCTGCAGACAAAAGATGGGGCAAATGAATATTGCTAGGTCTTCACAGTTAACACCATAAGCCGTTCATTTTTCCATAACTGCCTCGATAGGTATAATCACAGTGTACCTAATGAGTAATGTGAATATAAGATATATAATCACGTCTCGACCAACGCTCGACAGAGCAAAATATGCAGATACCTCCCTCAACTTGCCTCCATATTGACATGTCGGTAACAAGGTCGCATAGCTTGAGCTAGTCGGGAAACTTAAAAAGCGTTATAATCGCACTGCCACGCAATCGCCCTTTTTTAGCTTTGCAGCTAAGCGAACGATTCCGAGGCTGTACATATGCTATGCGCTATAATTGAAGGAGAAAGCTGGCATTTTTTTTGTGAACGACATCAGCCCATGTAACAAGAGATGAAAGTAACAATTCGACCTAATTAGCATCTATATCTCATTCACAAACTTGAAACCTTATAGGTATCTGCGAAACCTTATAGATAGGTTTCTTGTTTCTTATAGGTTGAGGTAGGTATCTTGATCTTGCTTGAAACATCGCGTCTCGTCACTGATTTGGTAGAGCTCAAGCTTACAGAATATAGATCAATGCCTACTCACCTCGTTTACAGCAGTTTTAAGCTCGTCTGGAACCCCACAACAATTCTCGATTCAAGACCCTGTATCGTAAATCCCTATACTTGTTCCATGAAGCCTTGGGGAAACTTCGCACGTCTCTAACAACTGTATGTAAACAAACATGGCGGGCCTACGGGACAATTTTCTTCTTTGACAATGGATCCTCAATAGTCGCGTCCAACTTCTGCTGCATTTCTACCACTCGTTCAACGTTTGTTGAAATTCTAGGCTACGTTGAGAACACGATGTGTCGAGCATTAATTTTCATAAATTGAAAACGTTTAATTCAAGTGGATATTGAAATTATTATCAGCAACATAGGTCTACGCCACCGTTGAAAAACTTCTAGCTGTGCGATTATCCTGTCACCTGTGAGCACAGAACTAAAAGTGCTCATTTCGTCCAGTAGGTGGCGAGCAGGGAGATACCCATAGATATGTCTGTATATCCAGGGGGTGTCGAAGTCTAGTAGGAAAATCTGGCAAATTCCCTGCGTGACGTCACGTCGGGGATGACCGACGGCACCTTGCACTGAAAGATACGGCAGAACGGCTATATTTGAAAAATGATTAAAAATACTTTTGTGCTGTTATGACGCATAAAACGCTTATCAGCATGTTCCTCATCATGTGATAAAGGCATATCCGTGGTCGAAAATAGCTGAGCACCTCCCAATTTCCAACCACCGACCTCATAAGCAAAGGATGTAAGCGTAATCCTTAAGGGCGACTTTCCTATACATATCCGTACATATGCGTCCTTATGGAAATCGGTAGTGTGGCGATTGGCGACGCGCGCGACATCTGTGTGGCGACCAAGTGGCGACTGTGGCGACACCTGGTGGCTGCTTTTCTGCTGTATGTAGGCATTGGGGTTTTGCCAGATGTGGGTCCTACTGGATTTTAGGACTAAAGTACGTATCGCTAAAGTACGTAGGACAAAAGTACGTATGCAAATGTTCGTACGCAAATATACGTAGGCGATAAAGTTCGTATGCCAAAAGTACGTACGCAAATGCTCGTACGCAAAAGTACGTATGCAAAAGTACGTAGTGCATAAAGTACGTATGTTAAAAGTACGTACGCAAATGTTCGTACGCAAAAGTACGCATGAAAAAGTACGTAGTGCATAAAGTACGTATGCCAAAAGTACGTACGCAAATGTTCGTACGCAAAAGTACGTATGCAAAAGCACGTAGTGTAAAATGTACGTATGGCAAAAGTACGTACGCAAATGTTCGTACGCAAAAGTACGTATACAAAAGTACGTAGTGTATAAAGTACGTATGCCAAAAGTACGTACGCAAATGTTCGTACGCAAAAGTTCGTATGCAAAAGTACGTAGTGTAAAAAGTACGTATGCCAAAAGTACGTACGGTTCGTATGCCAAAGTACGTAGTGTATAAAGTACGTAAGCTAGAAGTAGGGTATAGTAGTGAAAGTTGAGCCACTTTTTCTTTATTGCTGCTCTGTTGCCATACTACAGGGAACTCATGATAAATTCATATACCAAATAATATAGCTTTGTCCATTTCGCCCATTTACTCATCGAGAAATTTTGCTATGCCTTGTAACAAATGCTCATTAAATAAAGAATAAGAAAGGTATTACACATTGATCAACTTAACCCAAGGGTGGGGTACGTACTAGAGCACTTCACGGATAGGCTTTTTAGGATCCGGCCCGGCCCATATCCGGCAAGTCATATCCAGATCCGCCCATTATCCGCCTTTCTTTGAATATCAGAATCCGGCCCACCCATGGCCTGTATTGCAGCCAAACTTCCAAAAAATATCCGTAATAATCCGTTTCACCAATAACTGGTTTCACCCAAAAATGGACTAACAAATTCAATCTAAGGGACCAGACAGCCATACAAGTCTTGTGACAAGTGAGTATCATAAAATGATGCCTATTACTTTAATCAAACCTCTGCTGCCGCTTAACACATTAGGTTAATTTTTAACTTCAATGTTGAATGTTAAAAGTTTGATCCGTTTTGATCCGGGTTCAACCTTCAATTCCCAAATCCGGCCCGCCCATATCCGTTCTTTTTTAACAAATTTAGAATCCAATCCTATCCGGTCCGCGGATTTATCCGTGGATAACGGATTTATCCGGCCCATGAAGTGCTCTAGTACGTACTTAATACCCTACTTACATTTGCTATATGTACGTACTTTTGTCCGTGACGTACTTTTGTCCACACGTAGGGTAGACCGGGGCAAGTCGCCCCGCCGAGGTAAAACGCCTCACCGATGTTTCTCGGAACTGGCAGGGTTCTGGGGAAAGATCCTCTCTTCTGTTAACCCGGCCGGGCCCGGGGGGTAATTCCAACCACCGCAGCCCGGGGAGGGGCGTTTTTCGCCCCCTGTCTAACTCCGTAAATAAGAGAGATACGTAAACAAAAGAGATACCAAACGAAAGTTCCTTACAAGACGATTCTAAAGCACCCAAAATTTTTTACCTCAGGTCAATTTTCAAGGTCAGAGGTCAAGGTCAAAGGCAAAAACCGGCACATATTGTGAGTGATCTCAAAGTGAGCGTTCTAGAGGACGGCAGGATGCATAAAACCGGCAAAATTGGGTGTCAAACGAAAGAAGAGAATCATCTGAGAATTCCGAAAATGTGCGTCATCGTCAACATCAAAGGTCAAGGTCAAGGTCATGCTCAAAATTGACCTCAAACTTTGCACTTTTTCGTACATCTTGCGTGTCAACTTCCAAGATGTTTTGAAATGTTTTGAGGCTTATCAGGTCCCTATTTGTGGTTCATCTTACGATACAAGGCTGCTCAAAGGTCAAGGTCACAGAAGAGAGTCCTTGCTAGAGGCTATTTCGCTGATTCAAGTTAGTAATAATAAATAAGACAATTTTGCCATCCGGAGGCTCTAAATAAAGGCTTAGAGGAAAAGAGATGCCAGATACGTGATCAGCGGGTAGGAATCCATCATACACGACTTTTGGTGTGTCGAGGTCAACCAAAGGTCATTAGAGGTCACATGAGGTCAGCATAAAACTTGTCCTTTTCCAAACAAAATATATATTATTCGACGCGGCTTGACAAGGCAAATGCGATGGTACCACTGCCGTAGCTCTAGGACCATTTTTGTCGAAGTTATTTGCGAAAAAACTAAAACCACAGCTCTGGGTCGTTGACCTGACCTCTGACCTCAGGTTACTTAAACTATTTTTGTATTTTTCTCTAGGTCAAATGCTACACAACCGTGCTCGTAATTTGTCTTTATCTCTAAAACTCTATTTTTAGCAGCTATTTGAAATTCGCGTCTGTGACACCGAAGTTTGCCGTGCAGGGGTCTAGAAAAATCGACTTTGTGACGTCATCAATAGGGCTAGGTCCAAATTTTTTACTTCAGAAGATGTCAAATTGATGGGATAAACGGTACTGAAAGTTTCGCTTTCCTATCCCTATAAACGTTCGGGAGCTATCGCAAATATTCGCCGGAGGGGGGGGGGGGCGAAAACGCCCCCCGGGCCCGCGAGGGTTAATCTAGTGTATGGGGCTTCTTGCCTCAGGCCGTGGGGCGTTTTGCCCTGGGTTTGGGGCAAAATGCCCCATTTGCAGTTGCTTCACAAAGCACTTCCTAGTTGGGAGTCCGACCAAAGTGAATGAATTTGAGGGGTGGAATTAAAAGTAAAATGTCCAAAGAACACACTGAGCACAAATTTGGCCTTCCAGGTCGTGTGAGACAAAAGTAGGTACCTATGTAGCAAAATAAATTATCTGGGGCGTCTTGCTCAAGGCTACCCTACTTTATACTCTACGTACATTTGCTATACGTAGGCTTTTGTACCTACGTGACGTACTTTTTTGTCCATACGTACTTTATACCCTACGTACTTCTGCGATACGTACTTTTGTCCGTGACGTACTTTTGTCCATACGTACTTTTACCCAACGTACATTAGCTATACGTACTTTTGTCCGTGACGTACTTTTGTCCATACGTACTTTATACCCTACGTACTTCTGCGATACGTACTTTTGTCCCTGACGTACTTTTGTCCATACGTAGTGTACCTTATACCCTACGTACTTCTGCGATACGTACTTTTGTCCCTGACGTACTTTTGTCCATACGTACTTTATACTGTACGTACTTCTGCGATACGTACTTTTATCCTTGACGTACTTTTGTCCATACGTACTTTATATTGTACGTACTTCTGCGATACGTACTTTTGTCCCTGACGTACTTTTGTCCATACGTACTTTATACTGTACGTACTTCTGCGATACGTACTCTAATCCTACGTACTTTTGCTTACGTACTTTTGTCCTACGTACTTTAGCAATACATACTTTTGTCCGTAACCCTTCCTACTGCTACACCACTATGTTGACCCAATACTAGAAAAGTTATTTTGCTAGTAAAAGGCAAGCAAATTGAAAGTTGATTTATAAAATTGCTTATAAATGATTACGAGATAATAATAAAGAAATTTTGATTGAATAATTATTTAAATAATCAACCGTGAAACTATATTCTGGTAGGTTTAGTAGAAATAAGTCCGTGCAACCTTGTATTTAGGGCCTTGTGTATATCTATGTGGATACCCAATAATCCAGGGATGTCCGTCAAGACAGCCCATATTCAGCCCAGATTCAGCCCGGATTCAGCCCAGATTCGGGACACCTCCGATCAAGCTGAAACTCGCACACAATGTAGGCCATGACATGCCCAATCCACAGTCCAAGTCATTCGGTGGCACTCCCAGCCGTTTGACCTACAGAGGTCAGCAAAGGTCACGTGGCCCAAATTTGCACAGCAGATTGTGGCCCACCCAGTAGAGCTAGAGCGCTAAAAATGGCACCAATCGACTCGCCAGCATCTAATCTTACTTTCCCAACCCTCATTTGACCTCTCAAGGTCATGCGATGACCTAAGGTCATTTGTGGGCTATGTCGAAAATACACTTGCACAGCAGTTTTCGAGTAGATGGATTGACCGAATTCCAAATCAAAGCACATCATCGGGTAGCCAATAGGCCGTAGTAACGTTCCTTAAAAACTGCTTTTCGATATGTGACCCCGTTTGACCTCGGCAGGTCAAAATGTGCAAATAAACGACACTCAATACGTCGCAGCCCGGATTCAGCCCAGATTCGGGACACCTCCGATCAAGCTGAAACTCGCAC